TTGTCTCCCCAGTGGCAACGTTTACACACCGCACCAGGTACTCATTTGAGGCTGAGTCGACCTAGGGGAGGCCCGGGACCGGTTCAGATAATCGTCACTGGTGTTGGCCGTGAGCGGGAATCGAACCCGGGTCGCCAGGTTCATAGCGCAGCACGCTAACCGCTACACTATCGCTCCCCTCTCATACACACACTCGTAGACATACACACAGGCACACTTATACACAATGTATGATGAATTTTCACACCGTATGTAGCCAACCGCGCTCATCGGATGCAAGCACACACATGCAGAAACATGCAGAAAGCCGCATACATTAAACATAAACGCACACATATTCTTGGTTCTTTCGGTAAAGTCACATAGAAGGGAAACAATCAAATACAAATATAAAACAATAAAATTTTCACGACGTTTAAACTGAAACACAAGCAATCATCATCAGGTTTTCACACCTGATGATGATTGCTTGTGTTGCAGTTGAAACATCATCAGGTTTTCACACCTGATGATGATTGCTTGTGTTGCAGTCGAAACGTCATGATAATTTTATTGTTTTATATTTTTATTATTTTATCGTCTCCCTTGTACGTGACTTTACCGAAAGAACCAAGAATTAGAATCCCTGCAGTCACTAAAGCTTTAAATAAAAAAAATAAACGCACACGTTTAAAAACAAACCCCACATTCGTGCACACACCCACAACAACACGTGAACATAGACCCCCCTACACGATTATACCCATAAACATAAGGAGACATGGTGAGACACAGAGATAAATATTTGGGGAGAAAGATATATGGGGAAAGATACACTGAGAGATACACTTATTGAGATTCACAAGGAGAAGGGGGACTTGGAGACAGACTATGGGGAGAGATATGGGCAGAGAGTTATGTCGAGAGTGACATGCAGAGAGGGCAATAGACATTGGGAGAGAAATATGGAGAGCCACGAGGAAGGATGTGGAAGCGGTGCAATGTGAAATGAGGTCTCGAAAGGTCAGCATCTCAATGCAATTTAGCAAGTCACAAGAATCATTGGTGCAGGTTCGTGGGGCAGTGCAGATTTTTTTTTATGGAATAAGTTCGTGATGGAAAATAATATACCATTAATAATATGCCCCCCCCCCTCTTCCTGGATTGCCAGAAACATTGGAACTTTTTTTCTAAGAAAACACTGATGGTGCAACTGTAAGCGTTTTGTTCTAAATAAATATTACTTCGGCCTGTTAAATTCTGCCTACACCTAACACTTTGCGGAATGCATCCACTCTTGTCCAATCTCGGAAACCAAGCAGGCTTGTGCTTGGATAGTTATTGGATGCATGCCAGGCTGTTAAATAGGCAGCTTATTGGGGTCGTGCTACATTGTGGCCAGCATGGGGCTTTGCTTGTGCTTGTGGAATTTGATTAATGTCTAATTTATGTAGATTTTTGCTAAATTATTTTCTGCATGGGTTTTATTTTAACGTCCGTTTTTCACTTCAGTAGTTTTCCTTCCACGTATGTCTTCATGCCGAAGCAAAAATTAGAAACGCTCAAGTAACAAAACTATTTTTTTTGGAACCTCTCTGCAGACTTTGAAATAAAACACGCGACGGCGGGGGTTGTTCCACATGAAATGAGCACCACCTCTGCCATGACCCTCTGTGAATTTAATTAAATTTGGGAAGGATTTAAGCCGAGGCGGGGAAATCCTTTAACTCAAAACGACATCTGTTGTGGTCAGTTATTTTGTGTAGTGCAACAGCGAATTGAACGAAGGTTAAAACATAGACACTTTTCATGAAATAGCCGTAATGTATTATCCTGCAACAACTGACATAATTCACTTTTAGAGAGTTGATCCTGCTGTAATTCATAAGCCTTGGTAATTGTACATTTAAATTATGTTAGACCGGTGGTTACAAGTTACGTGAGACGTAAGGTTTTTACATTGCTTGGGATCAGAACTCAGGTGGCTCGCGTGAGACTGAGACATTGTTGAGATGGAGAGACGCAGATAGATGTGGGGGGGGGGGGGGGAGATGTGTGTGGGCGGCATACAGGTGAGGTGGTGAGATACAGGTGGTTGGGGAGAGGTGCAGGTAAAATAAGGCGGTGGTGAGGGTACGTTGAGTTTGCCTCACAATAATTTATAATCCACGGCCGACATACTGCGTTATAATAGTAACAAGAGTGCAGTGTGTTGAATTCGGGACAATAGTGTTATCTTTCGTTATTTTGCTTTCTGATATATGTAGTTTGTATTTTATGGCTATATATCACCAGCGTTTAATGTAAAGCAGACATTTGGTGCATCCTAGGCAAGTATACGTTATATTCTCTGTATATTTCCTATAGCCCTGAGTGTTACTTGAGGATGGCCATATTTTTTTTTACCATTTGACCATCGGCATGTTCCATTGTAAGGGGACATGCATGTACCTATGTTTAACTTCTTTCTTGGTTTAAATGTGCATCTGGCCTGTGGCGGCTGCGCTTGCCAGACAACTCGTGGTGTACTTTTGAGTACACTTCACTGTGAGCAAGGTCGGGATGTAGTTTTTTTGTATGGCGATGTGTCCCTGAGGAGTACAGTGTTAGCCTTTCCTGTGCACTTGTCAAAGTACAGCCATGAAAGGGAAGGAAATTATGCTCAGCCAAGAGTGGTTGAATTGCTTCCTTTTCAACCATTTTGACAAATCGTCATTTTAACTTGCCGCAATTGCATTTATAGTTGTATTTGAGCGAAGTGGTCTGTGCTGCACTAAATAAATACGTATAATTAGCGGTAATTTTAAGGATTAAATCAGCTCTTGGAGATAAATCTGCATGGGCTGAGATGAAATACTCGGGCCAGTGCAGTGTCTCAGACATAGTAATTGGCCTTCATGCACCTATCATTCAAAATGTCTTTAATGCTCTGCTTATGGTTGCATACCAAACCTTTCCTTACCATCAGACGAGCATTGACAAAAGGTGAAGAAATCAAAGTGGACAGAAAGGACAAACGTTGATGACCACATCATTGACGTTCCTGAACTCCGGTGTTTCTACGCTCGATCCACAAACGTTTTGAATTGTAGGAGAAAACGTGAATGTGAAACCAAACATGTTTTTATTTCTCATTCTGTCTCATGCAGACTCACTTGCCCCATTGTTCTCAACTCAACATTTGCATATGTTTTCATAATAATAGCATTCATTGTTGCTTTCTGCGTATTAAAATTTTAAATAGGTTTTACCCTTTCTGGCAATAAAACAGGCGTTAAATGTTCAAACACCAAATAGATCACTTTTTGCAAGGAATCAAGTCTGCGTGAACCACACGTAATTGTGGTGAACGTGCAAACAAAACATGCTCTGATAATATGTATTGTATATTAAACTGATTGGACTACACTAGGAGACAGCTTTCTTTATGGCCTTGTCTCACCAGTGTCAGACCAGAGAACACCAAAAGGCGAACATTACAAAAGCCAATGCACGTATCAGAGCGTTTATAGCTTGTGGCGCTATTTGCATTTACAATTTTACAACTGTGTGAGCGGTGGCACATTGGTTAACACACTTCGCCTGTGCGCTCCCCCATCTGCGTTCACAGCAAAAAGGACTTGGGTTCGATTTCGGAATTGGGTGCGTTTCTGTATGGCGTTTGTATGTACGCAAACAGTTCTGCGTCTTCCGCCCATTGCAAAAATAACACACAATATTACTGGTATTGGACAAACATCCCAATGCTGAAAATTACCTTAAAAATACTCATATTGGTATGGCATGTGGCAACGTTGCCCCCAACTGCAAAAACTTAGCAGGACCCTCCTAATAACGACATGGGACTCAATTTGGCTTTTATGGGTAAACAAGGATGATAATAATATCAACAAACAGGGACTCCTCTACTTACGAACGAGTTAGGTTCCAGAGGTCCGTTCATAAGTCGATTTGTTCGTAAGTCCAACTTTACTCCTGTCGATTCCAAACACGTTGTACGGCATATGCACTGAACACGGGGAATGGCTTTAGAAGTTATATCTTATAGATGTAGATGCCACTGGTTCTTCATGTTCTGCAGATGTAGATGCCACCACCTTGACGGAAAGTTGGGGGGCTGAGAAGTAATGAGGCATCATTGCATTGGGAAGACAAAGGGGGGATGGCGAGGGGCTGGAGCCAGGAGAAAGAAAGGGGGCCACCGTGATCGAATCCCCCGCACCACCGACGACTTCCGAAACGTCCATGCAGTGTAGCAGCGGAGTCCCAGCCGGGTCCGTGACAAAGAAGAACGCGCAGCCTCGGCCCGGCTCACTTGCCTAACTTGTCCAGACAAGTCCATGAACGTGGGGGTAGATTACACTTGTAATTGTAAACTTTTTGTGGCCAACTTTATGCTGGTGGACTGCTTTATTATAAAACTCAAACGACTGAGATTGAGTGAGTGCACAAACGTATCGTTTATTTAAAAAAAAATGCCCGTCTCCTCTAAGTTTAAATGCCAAATGCACGGGTTGCATTTTGCATTTGCATAATGGACATTTCTGTTCGGGATTCTCAAACCGAGCAGTACACTACACCACTTGTGTCAGGGATGGCCTCAAAACAATTACATAAAAGAACTACGTACAAAGTCACTGCAATAGGCCTCTTTGAGATGAGACGGCATGTGCTTTCATGTGCCGACGAACAGTGTTCCTCACATGGCAATAAAACCAATATACGTAACCCTTAGACCTGGAACCTGAAAAAATAAGGAACAATGCAAATGTAATCCGATTTTTTCATTTTTTGTACAGTAATTGGTTACCAGGCTGATACTGTAACCTAACCTACACTTGAGATCCCAGCGTAAGAATGTGTGGCTGTCTGGATTCAATGCCAAATTCGTCTGCAGTGGTATCAGCTTCCTGAGGCCACCCGTTCACCTCTGAAATGCAAGGTTTCTTCATTCGCTTCGCGTCTTCCCCTGTTACTAACCTTCCCCCCCCCCTCCACCCCACTCGTTTCTCTCTTTGCAGTGTGAAAAGGACCATCTGGCTCAAAAAATTGCCTGAGAGCATAAACTTTTTTTGGCAAGACAACCATTCCCTATTTCAGCCAGCTCGTGGAGGGAGAGAAACGGGGAGGGAAAGGAAGGCGGGGGTGGGGGGGGGAAAGAAAAGCAAGGGGCAGAGTGAGGCGGGACACACAGACGCAGCTGGCCATTCAAACAAAGCTCGGAATTTTGATGGTGTGTGCGAAGACAAGGAGGGGAGAGAAAGGGCAGTCTCAGCAGAGGCATCCTTGGGGGTGCAGCACAACGCCGAGGCGAGTCGGTGGCTTGGGAGAGAGCGTGGGGAGAGGCCCGGGGAACGACGATGCCGCCTCCTCAAGACATCGTAAAGGTGGCCATTGAGAGGCCGGGTGCCTTTGCGCAGCTCATTGAGTTGGACCAGGTGAGCGCTCCCTCACTCTCCCTTTTGGGAACCCACGTCTTTTGCGCACCCGCCACAGCTTTTTCTTGCAGGATGTTCGTGGAATGATTATCAATGGTGCGGTGCGTACGAGCCTGCTGGTGTTTTTGTGAGCGCATGCATTGCCCCCCCCCCACATGTATACTTTGAGAAGTTTTTGTGTTCATGCGTGACAATGTTTGCGAGTGTTGGGAGTGAGTGCACTTGTGCACGCTTTGGCCAGTAACCCCCGCCTTCCCCTGTGCATGCTGAGACCAGTGCACCTGTGTGCAAGCCTCGAGAGAAGTGTAATTTTGGCGTTATACTGAGATTGTGTGGCTGAATGCTGTTGGCCTGTGGTTCGTCGCCTGTTGTCGGTTACTGCCAAAGAAAAGGACGGTTGATTACACATCCACAAATACAGGACTGTTCATTTATGTTCTCCCACAGTAAAACAAATTAAATACGTGTCATTGAATAAAAAGCAGCAATGGGGAAAAATGAACTGCTTTTAAAATATTGATAACAGATGAACAAACAGCAATGGAATGGAAACCAAGGGATGGATAAACGTATTGAAGAAACAGCCAAAGGGGATTTGAACGAGTAAAGCCAGGACACATGCAAGCATGAGATGTGAAGTGGTGGTACTGTGGCTAGCACGCTTGTACTGTGATGACTTGAGTTTGATTCCTAGCCATGGCCACCGTAAGTAGTGAATGATATATTAGCTTGGCGGTGGTGGTGCATGCTCATAGTCCAGCATAGTGGAGGTGAGAATTGATGGATCACACAAATGTTGTGAAACTACCTTTCAATAGACGTAGAAGTGCCATCCCCTGGCTTTCCAGGAGAAGGCAGTACAAAGTGTGGACTAATCTCCATCTGTCCTATCTATAAGGGACAGAGAGATGTCTCACACTCATATGTTGTTTTCTGGATGCCCTGGTTTCCTTCTGCGTGTAAACACTCAACAACTGGCTGAAAGCATCTTAATATATAGAGGACCACAGAGTTTGGGCATTTGTTGGCGCCAGCTCACTGCGTGGCTGCATTTCTCGCTTGTCTCTGGTTCCTTATCGCATCTCTTAGTCGTTATCTCGTTTGAAGAGCGAGAAAACACTGTGCAGCACGTTACAAGGTAAAAAAAATGTTATATTAGAATGAGTCCTGTCCTGTCCCCCCCTACTATTCACCAACATGGACTGACCAACGTGGTATGGTTAAAATGGTTAAAGAAAACCCACACTCATGTGGCATTGCCTTTATCCAATGGTGGATTACATTTTTTATTACACAATATTCCTATTTCGATTTAAAGCTTTCGTGACTGCAGGGATTAATTTTCTTGGTTCTTTCGTTAAAGTCACGTAGAATGGAAATAAAAGAATAAAAATAAAGCATAAAATAAAACTCTCACGATGTTTCGGCCACAACACAAGTAGCCTTCTTCAGGTGAAGGAACAGAACTGTCGGGACGACAGCGCTTCAATGAACGCTGCTAAGATTCGCAGCGTCTTTTAAGCTAGGCGGGAGAAGTAAAGTGCCTTGACAAAGGAGTTTACATATCAAACAGGAGAATTTAGCATTGAAATAGCTATGTTAAAGTGTTAGATCAGCAGGGTGTTAAAGTCAGAAATTAGCATGTAACTGGGAGATTAGCATGATGTTAATGTGAGGGATTAGCATGTGACTGGTCACGGAAATAGCTATGTTGAAGTCAAAGTTTAAATCTCAACAGAAGCATTTAGTATATGGACGCTAAAGGACTGCAACTACCCAACTATCATACAATAAACCGATGTGAAAAAACTATGTATAAACTACATCAATATAATAAATGTACTCAATATATTCTTCAATAAGTTGAGCTATTAACATAAAGTAACTGGGTATACACTACACTATATAATGACTGTGATATAGTAAACTAATAAAAAACAAATATAAACTACATCAATGTTATCAATAAACTCTATATACTCTCCAATCAGCTGAGCTACTAACAATAAGTCGTTATACATTACAATGCCATATGGCAAAAAAATGGGTGGTGGTTTTTTTTTCAACATTAGCACCACGGAAAGCGACGAGCTTTGTTCAGACGGACGAGTCCATCTATGCTCGGAACGGAGGAGGGGGGAGAAACAGCCACGATGCGCTGCTCTGTCCTGTGTTGCGTTACAACTATGTTATAAACTAGACTGCTATACATTGCAATGTTATACCTTCCAATCTAAACTACATTGTATAATATCGTATACGATATTATACAATGTAGTTTTATGGTATTCATTATATTGTGTAGTGTATACCCAGTTACTTTATGTTAATAGCTCAACTTATTGAAGAATATATTGTGTACATTTATTATATTGATGTAGTTTATACTTCGTTTTTTCACATCGGTTTATTGTATGATAGTTGGGTAGTTGCAGTCCTTAAGCGTCCATATACTAAATGTCTCTGTTGATATGTAAACTTTGGCTTTAACATAGCTATTTCCGTGACCAGTCACATGCTAATCCCTCACATTAACATCATGCTAATCTCCCAGTTACATGCTAATTTCTGACTTTAACACCCTGCTGATCTAACACTTTAACACAGCTATTTCAATGCTAAATTCTCCTGTTTGATATGTAAACTCCTTTGTCTAGGTGCTTTACTTCTCCCACCTAGCTTAAAAGACGCTGCGAATCTTAGCAGCGTTCATTGAAGCGCTGTCGTCCCGACAGTTCTGTTCCTTCACCTGCAGAAGGCTACTTGTGTTGTGGCCGAAACGTCGTGAGAATTGTATTTTATTATGTTTTATTTTTATTATTTTATTTCCATTTTACGTGACTTTACCAAAAGAACCAAGAAGAAGAATATTCCTATTGGTAATGGATCCTCCATTACCAATGACAGCCATAGTTTACCCCTATATCATCCTATTTACAGAATGGCCTTTTAGGACATTTAGACAGTGCTAATGGGAAACATTACAGCCCACAAATTGGGTGAAAACCCTCCATCTGTGTTGTATAAATGTAGCTGCGTTTGAAACTTTGAAGCATCTGGGTCCATCATGAAACTGACATATCAGCTGTTGCTTGTTTCCGAAGCATCATTGAAGGATTCGTTCATATCACATTTAATAATTGTCAAATTTGTCATGCTCTCACCCCTGAGCGAAAGTGATGCACGTCACTCCTTGTCTTGTTGCATGTGCTGTTCCTCTGGTGTATCGTAGCAGTCTATACCTTTGTATAGATTTGCTGTAGAGAATAGCAAGGAGAGGGAGTTGCGCAACCTCTCGCTGTGAAATGTTTCAATGGTGTTGCCAAACAAATGGAAATAATTCCATTGAAAGCAATAATACTAGTAATCAGTGGTTCAATATGCCTATTTTCTATAGATACTCAATAGCCCACATTTTCAGTGATTTCCTTAAATAATTTATATTGATTCACATAAGACACGTGTTTTCACAGGAGTTTTAATTATGGCCTCATAAAATTCGAACGGTACTTTTTTAAGCGTCTGCATTCAAATGCATCTGGAGATTCTGTTTAAGAGTAGCAAATACAAATTAGGAAGAGAGCTAATGGATGGGTGAGAGGAGCTAATGGGCATTGGTACAATAGAGAGGCAGTCGGTCATCAACGGAGGAAAAAAAGAGGTAGACTTGAGCCAGGCCTTGAAGGAGGTACACAGGGATAGTTTCGTGACGGCAGACGAGAATAAGCAATACATATAGAATTGAAGCTTTTGTGACTGCATAAATTGCTATACTCATTGGTGACTTTCCCGAAAAAACCAATGAGAATAAGCAATGTTTAATTGAGTGTCGGATAACTGGGATTTGATAGGGAGGCCTTCGTTGATGGGAGTGAACATGAATAGATCTGAATGAGATGGTGGAGGTCAGTGAGTAATGCCATGTAATAACGTTTTGCTGGTGATTTTCCACCATTGTGTAACTCCAACAACAGCTTCTGGTGTTTACTGCTGGCATATGTTCATTTCTTAATTTGTGGTGTTTACTTCTTGCAGAAAAAGCCTCTTTCTGCAGTGATCAAGGACATCTGCTATGGGTAAGCAGTTCTGACATTTGAAAAATGATGCTGATTGTGTTGTCATGTTTGATATATATTTGCCTTCTAAAATATATTTGCAGACTTAGTGGATCCCTGTGGAGTTGCACTGTTCAGAGGGTGCTCTGCATTCTACGTGAAATGGCAAAGTGTCAGCATAGTTTTTTTTTCGTTAAAAGCTTTTCCAGAATAAGAAATGTCACTTGGTTTAATATGAATTGTGTAAAGTATAAAAACCCCATGCTGGCACAATTGGATAGCTCAGAAGAATAATTTTTCTATACCCACGTCAAAGTTAATGGTTTGGAATTCTGCATTAGCTGGATTACTTGGTATTGAGCACAGTTACTAATGACCTAACTTATGGTAGTATGGCATTGTATTATATTACACGGTTCTTAAGAAATTAAATTGGATTTGTTAATACTGGCAACCCACATTTCCTTTGGACATGTTCGTCCATCTGCCGTTACCAGCCAGCCAACAAAACTTGTAATCTTTTATAGTGCGCCGTCCCTCCCCACCTTTCTCTTGCCTTCAAGCATGCCTGGAAGACGGTGTTTAGGCTCACTGAGGCTTTCCTGGATAAATAAAAGATGATTATTGTTTTAAGTTAGCGTGACCGATCTTAAATAATTTGCCGACAGAAAGGCACTTCCGCTGTGTTGTTGCGTTGGAGTTCAGAGGCATTTTCCACCGTGTTCATTCACGCCCAATGACGTAACAGCTGGACAGGTGGAGACGTGTTCTCCGGGTAAATATGCATGTGGCTGTGGAAAAAAACAGAACAGTGCGTGTCAGGGATATGTTCTCAATATTCAGATGCATATGAAAAATATGGCCTTGATAAAAACGTTAGGACGATAACTTTTTTTTACACTGATAGAATGTTTAATACTGTACATCACGTCCGTGCTTTTCGTTGTGTTACGTGGCATCGGGTAACGTCACCTTTGTTAGCATGAAGACACACATAATTATCACGTGATGTAAATGTTCTGAAAATCCACTTTTTTTAAGAAACAACTCATTCTTTGCATCACGTGCATGACTATAAGGGTGCCCGATACAGCATTCTTGCTCTCGGCTAATGCTCCGTTGCAGGGTTATCTGTCATGAGTTATCGCATTGCGATCTTATTATTTCACGCAGATGGAATATAAGCGACTCCGAAAACTACGCTCTGCATTATACAGATGGGAACCAGATGTACATTACTGAAAAGGTAACGCCGGTGATCCTGGCCCATGCATTAAATGGGCTCTAGTGGCTCCCTATAGGCCTCTTCGTCTCTGGAGCCACTGTGCGCTGGGTTCACTTGTCTGACCTTCCGGTCCCTTCTTTCATGGCTAGGGCTGCTTCCTGTAGAAGGCACTGCGGCCAGCTGTTTTCCATTTTACAGAACAAATATTGAGAAAGTTATTAAATAAATAACCGTTGCCCGCATCGCCAACGCGCCACTCCGCAACCCCATATTTTCCTGGTGTTCACAAGTTGTACAAGTAATGCTTGCACTGTATTAGGCTTGTGTAGAGTAGCTTGTACTGTATCCTGCCCTGTGTTACTCTTCAGCAAAGATTAGATTATACCTTACAATGCACTCCTATCAGCGCAATGATATTTTGGTAGCAATATGATGAGGGAATACAATTAAAGTACTTTACTGCTTAATATAGCTTCCATTTATCTCTACTATTCATGCTAATGTAACTGCAGAACTGAGTAATGAAACAAAGATGGACAGATGAATATGCGGGCAAACTTGAAATAGCAACGAGATGAGGGAGCATTTGTGACTTTTTTTAGAAAAAGATCAAGAGATCACACAGCGTAGATTGTTTGTAAGATTGATGTTAATTGTGTGTGCTGGCTGGCTGCGGGATGTGAAGCATTGCAGATTTCAACTCTTTACATTTCAGTGCATAAAATAACGATCTTTGAAGAGCCACGTTTTCTGGAAGTGATTTATTATTATCTGTTTTGTGATTTGGTGCAGAATCGAAACGAAATAAAGAATGGAGCCATCTTGAAGTTGACAGACTCGGCAGTAAGTTTGATTATTTTGTGATTAGAATAATTAATCTGCAATTAGGTATGTTGTTTACTTGGAACATATCTAAGATGTATTTGTTTTTACTTAGTTATATATTTTTCTGTGAACATTTTAAAATGCTTTGATAATTTGGGGCGAAGATTTTTGCGCACAGTGTGAGGTAAATGTATGTGCAGTTGCGCATGCAAATGTTCCGATAGCTACCAATGGTGCACGTTTATAATATTGGCAGATCGCGCATGGTGGGGTAAAGTGTGGGTACTCCCACCTCTTCAAAGACGTCTGCCCAGAATGGCAGCATAAGCTGAATACCGTTTCAGAATCAGAATATTATATACTGGAGGAATCTGATGAGCTAAGCTGTTTTTCGCAGATTTTTAGAAAGTGGCGAGAGCAAGTAATTGCAGGGCTTTACCTCTGTCATTGGTGCGTATTATGCTTTGACCCATGTACAAAGTAATTTTGTAATCAAAGACGGCACTGGCTTCTGCCCAGGCTTTTTGATTCTTTATTGTGGCCACCCAGGCAGGCTCAGTGGGATTGTTGGGCTCGTAATCCAGTTAATTCCTTACATTTACTTGCAGAGCTTGCATGTACTGCACTCAGTACATTTACGCAGACCCACCCACACACACACAACTCCTTTACAATCTCTTAATGGGCACAGAACCAAATGGACATGTACCTTCTGTGTTTCTCATACAAATGCATTTCCTGCAGGTGCCATATGCTGTTTGATGTGTCCGCGGCTGTATGTTTGTACCTTAATTGTACGCGTACCTCTAAGCACATGTATTTTATTGCGTTCCTGGTGATTCGTCTTTTATCCTACGTGTGCGTTTACCTTGTCATTCTTGAGCTCACTCGTGTGCCTACCGACGTGATTAGCTCGTGTGTGTTGTGTGTTGTGTGCGCGCTGGCGTTTGTCTACAATTCCTGCTTAACGTTTCTCGCCAACTTTCGCGGCGCCTGCCGGTGCGCGCCTGTCTCACGGTGCGCTTGTGCGCTCGCCCCGTGCAGTCTAAAACCGCTCAGCTGCTGGTGGAACGGATCCGATCAACCCGGCCGGACGACCGACTGGACGCACTTAAGACGTTGGCCCGCCTCTCTGTGGACGTCACCTTTGCCTCCGAGTTCATCAAGCTGGACGGGATCGGACTGTTGACGCGCAGCGTGGAAACTGGCACCACCGAGTAAGCCGCGACCCCCAAACCCTTCTCTGCGCTGCTTCGCGGAACCATTTTGGTCGTCTTTGTGCAAGCAAACCGTTCTCAGTCCTGCCAAGGAGGTTTGGTAGTTGTGCCAAGGACCCACGGGTTAGATTTAGTAAATAGTTTTGTGGCTTTAACTGTGACTTTTGAACTTGACACGTAGGTCGTCACAGCCATGTAATGATCAAATATGTGATTAAGTTGCCCCGCCACCTGTCCATAGCCAAACAAATTAATTGTATGCACCAATTAGTATATTTTCTGTTCACTGGAAAGTTCAAGAACAATCCTCGCAACCAAACTGACTGATGGTTGCTGATTGATTGTTCCTATTAATGTTTAAGTAGGCAGCAGTAAGGCCTGGTTCATTAATCTCGGATGTCCTGTGTTACTATATTAGCTTAATTTCTGAGAAAATTTGTTCCCAGTAACAATGTCATGTCCTTCTCTTAAAAAATGGCCTTGCAGAAATGTATAAACAAGGAAGTGGGTGTTGAGACAAGATACTGTGCTTAAAATATAACGTTTGCCTTGATAACAAATATATATTTCCGAGTTATCAAGGTCAAGATGTACTTTTAAGCAAATTACCTTGGTGAAATGAGAGAGTGAAACACCTCCAACACATACAAGTCATGTGTTTCCAGCTTTCCTTCCGATGCATACGTCTCTATCGCGTGTACTGCCGAGCATTTCTGGGTGTGCAGTTGACGCAAAGGGAAGTGAAAGGAAAGGCCGTATTCCCCATGTTGTTGTTCCTTGTGGTCAGCAGGATCACCCAATTAGTCATTTCCAGTAAACCTTTATCGAGTGTAATTTCTAAATATGTAGGCTGTAAAATTTTGACTTAACTTTTGTGACTGCAGGAATTCATATTCTTTGTTTCTTTCGGTAAAATCACGTAGATAGAAAAATAATCACAAAAAAGAAAGTGAATACAAATGATAAAAAACACACTTATGTAGACTGTAGCCTGGTTCTTAATCTGAGTGTACTGGCAGTCTATAATGTAGACTGTAGCCTGGTTTTTATATAAAGCTTTCGTGACTGCAGGGATTCATATTCTTGGTTCTTTCGGTAAAGTCACGTAGAAGGGAAACTAAATAATAAAAAATAAATATATATAAATATATAAAATTTACTTATTTATTTTTATTTTATTGTTTCCCTTCTACGTGCGTTTACCGAAAGAACCAAGAATATGTAGCCTGGTTATTACATTTGGTGAGTACTGGCAATCTATAATGTAGACTGTAGCAATGGTTATTAAGCTGGGTGAGTATACTGGCAGTCTATAATGTAGACTGTAGCCTGATTTAAAGCTTTCGTGACTACAGGGATTCATATTCTTGGTTCTTTCGGTAAAGTCACGTAGAAGGGAAACAATAAAATACAATAAAAAAATAAATATATATTGCATATTCATTTTTTATTATTTTATTGTTTCCCTTACCAAAAGAACCAAGAATATGTAGCCTGGTTATTACGTTTGGTGAGTGTACTGGCAGTCTATAATGTAGACTGTAGCAATGGTTATTAAGCTGGGTGAGCGTATTGGCAGTCTATAATGTAGACTGTAGCCTGGTTCTTAACCTGAGTGAGCGTACTGGCAGTCTATAATGTAGACTTATTCTTGGTATCTTTCGGAAATAAAAAAACAAACCACGACGTTTCGATCACAAGTGATCGTCTTCAGGAGGAAAGAGGGGGAAGGTCACCGAAGGCAACAGTTTTTAAAGGTTTCAAATAATGGCCGTGGCACAAGCGCTCCGACGGGGCAACGAAGTGGGCGGGGTATATGTGCCCCAGGGCTTGTGCCACGCCCATTTTTGAAACCTTTATAAACGGTTGAATTCCCCCTCTTTCCTCCAGAAGACGATCGCTTGTGATCGAAACGTCGTGGTTTTTTTTATTACCGAAAGAACCAAGAATAAGTCTACATTATAGACTGCCAGTATGCTCACTCAGGTTAAGAACCAGGCTACAGTCTACATTATAGACTGCCAATACGCTCACCAAAATTAAGAACCAGGCTACAGTCTACATTATAGATTGCCAGTACACTCACCGAGGTTAAGCACTAGGCTATAGTCTACATTATAGACTGCCAGTACGCTCACCGAGGTTAAGAACCAGGCTACAGTCTACATTATAGACTGCCAGTACACTCACCGAGGTTAAAAAACAGGCTACAGTCTACATTATAGACTGCCAGTACACTCACCGAGGTTAAGAACTAGGCTATAGTCTACATTATAGACTGCCAGTACGCTCACCGAGGTTAAGAACCAGGCTACAGTCTACATTATAGACTACCAGTAGACTCACTCCGATAAAGAACCAGGCTACAGTCTACATTCGTGTTTTTATAGTTTTTGAATTATTTTTTATTTATTTTATTTGTCAAATTTGTATTTTTCTATCTACGTGATTTTACCGAAAGAACCAAAGAATATATATATGGGTATATATTAAATTAAATCTCATCACCAAACTTTGTGAACATTTGCACCTAATTCGATTTAAATTTGTGAACAAGGCTTAAGACCCCAATGGGGCTCTGGTAGATTAAAAGTACAATATGTGCAATGTGGATTTACAAAGCATCTAAATGTAACATTTGAAGACGCTGTACAGAAAGATTGTAAGTATGTACTTTAGAGGGAGCAGTCAGTTATAGCCAGAGGGATAAAGGGAGGCCTTGAGCCTGGACTTGTACAAGGGCAGCCCGGACACCTTTCTGACAATAAAATAACAAGATTCATAATTAACCTCGCCATGTATTCAAAGACAATGGTCTTTCATCATACATGGAGAGTGGATTCTTATGGTTGGAGGTCATACTTTTTTTTATACTGCACTACCATGACATTGTTGAAGACGGTTGACGTTTTACTTTTAAGTTGTTTTCATTGATGCATATCGAGTATCATGCACATCCTTAAACAGTCAAAGTTGGATGTATAAATTGGTTTAAATAATATATCCATGCTCCTTGCGAGCCACGTTCGATGCAGTACTCGGCCTGCTGTACATTTCCCGCACCTCCGATGAGCAGGGTTGGCTACGTACGGTGCGAAAGCAGTTCATCTATACGTAAATACTTCAGTGGATTACCAGGCCATTATTATTGAGGAAAGAATGGTGGTTCTTGCATTAACAAAATCTTAATGCTTGTTTCTGACTGCAGTATTGGGGAGAACCTGGCCTATACCCTGACTGCATTTGTGGAATTGATGGATCACAGCATTATGTCCTGGGAATCCTTCACCCAGGGACCATTTGTTAAAAAGGTAAGGTATCTTTGGTCAATATTTCGACCACTATAAATATGTTGCGGGTGTTTATAACAAAACTGAGTCTTTGGGGTATTTTTTTTAGCAATGAGTAAATGCACCTTTTTTAGAAGGCTTTTGATTGTTAATGCAGTCCTAGTGAATTGTATTTTACACAATTGTGTTTAAAAAAAAAACTATAATTATAAACATTACTCGGACACAAATACTGCTCAAATGTCAAGAGGCCCTTTAGAAATTGATTGACCCATGTGATGAACAAGACGCATGAGCGCGTTTGCTTTTTCTCCCATTTATATTTAAATTTTGCTGTCATTTGCATTCGGAGCTAGCAGTGAACAGGGTCTCTTTCACCTTGTGTCTGGCAAGTACCCCAGAAGACGATGTCATGGAACTACCCCATAAGTCCGTGATATAAAAATGTATATCCACACAAGGTTGATTAAGACCATCTTTGTATGCTCCGCAAAAAAAAGTGCCGCACTGCAATCAACAGACTGCGTTTTTTAAACCTTATTTTATATCGAAATACTAATATACAAATTTGTACGTAATGCAAAAAACTGAACGCATTCATGAATACCACTGCCTTTAAGGAGTATATAGTAGTTGATCTTTTCGACCTTGGACCTTCTTCATAGCACATAAAGAAGGGCCATTGCCAGAAGAAACAATGTTACCCAAAACATTACCTAATATATACCTTTCCTTTTAAGGCAGTGTTGTTGATGAATGCTGTTGAGTTTTTTTGTTATTTGTGCTTGTGCACTGCTGCCAAAAAAGTATCACCAAATATGTCCATATATATAAACCAGGCTTGCGGTAGGTTGTGGATGGAATCATTTTGAAGTTCCTACCTTCTGGTGGCGCACTGTACTCTTGTGTTGATTCAGCTGTTGGAGGCGCAATGATGTGCCGCGTGTTTGGCCGCGGGAAATTGGTTGGACGTGCGTGGCTGTGTGAAAGAAAGCGAGATGTGCTCAGCTGTCAAATAACGCCACTGTGTTTGTAGGAAATCTGTGAGCCTTGCGAGTCTCTCGTGAGGTGTTTTAGTGTGGCTTCGAAAATGATGGACCGTTTGTTCAGCTGCAGATAGACGACACATTTTTGGTCTCAATGGGAAGCAATGTGGAATTCTGGCTTATTATTACATTGTATAACAATAATATCCTTAGAAAGGAATGCTTTAACTCCTTTCATAAGAGTGCTGCTCTGCGAATGTTTGAACTATTACTTTTTTAAGAAAAGTAACGCCGAGAGAGAAACCCAACACATAAGAGCGGGAAACACTCATACGCTATACAAATTGAGCAGCCGTCTTAACTACTATTCTGCCTATTGCGTCCCTCTTGTAGCCCAGAGGGTAAGGCACATCATTCACATTATGGTACCTGCTCGATGGACAAACCCCTATGTCACTAGCTGTGGTTTACAGGTGTGCACCACAGTGCCCAGCTGGGAACAACTTTGAGAGGTGACGTATCTCATTTTAACGGGTGCTCACGAAGGGGTTCACAAATACAGTTATAGCGGAGAATTAGACTTACACGGCTGCCGTGGTGTAACGGTGAGCATTCTGGACTTAAATTCCCGCCTCCATCTCTCCAGCAGTGTAAACAAATTAATGTTCTGCAGTCTATCGGTAGGCCGTGTGTGGTGGGGTAAAGTGTGGGTATTCCCATTACTTCTACGATACACATCACCAGAAAATGGGAGCGTAAACAATCCCGGTCCTTGAGATCTACTCAGTTTCTCAGGCCATGGCACTAGCCAAAATGTATGCCGTTCAGTTTCATTGTGCTCTCTTGCTTTGCAGCACTTTGTCCCTGTGGTCTGTTAGGCTAAACAGACCCGTGTGTCCTCGCATGCTTTTCGTGATGCCACGCCAGGTGGTGTGCTTTGCTACCCGGTCGACAGCGGACGCCACCGTGCTGCAACGCTCGCTCGCGATCCTGGAGAGCATGATTCAGAGTGGGAACGCGCTGTCCCTGCACGTGGCCTCCGAGATCTCCATCCAGCAGCTGCAGCCACATCTCTCCGTGTGCGTACGCGTCCAAGCACGCACCCCCCCCCCCACCACCCTCCAATCCCTTCACATCTCGTCTCCTCTACTTTGTGATGCATGCTATCAAGTAATGCATGCGGAGAAGCTGGAATTTTTTTGTATGACATTGGTTACTTTACAGGGAGCACAATTACACGGAGTCTAGGATTGCAGTTGCAAATGGACTGCACCAAATTGCTACTGTAACGAGAACACTGGAGTGTTTTTTTTTTTCCCACACTGGCCCAATGCTGTTTTACCTCCCAATATCTCAGTTGAATCGCTGGCGTGTGTGGGGTACTGGTCGTTGCTTAATTGCTCGTCCTTTACTTAATTTCTCGAGAAAATCGACGTTATTCGTGCTGAACGTGGAGTGTTGAAGATGCACTGATGCAACCTTAGAGTGATTTCAAGCATCCGAGCACCAAACCTTGCCTCGAACAGGTGCAGAAGAATCGCTGAACAAAGCATTTCCTCCATGATGTAATTCGATTAGCTTTTGCAGATACAGAATTGGATTCTCAGCTCCTCAAAAATACATGCGAACAATGTTCAGGTAAACAATTATTATTATTATTATTGAAACATAGTCATATTCTACTTTCATATGTAACTTAATGCACTGTATTTAATCTTTATATGTTTTAGCAACGGTTTAGTAGGTACAAATTATATGAGGTCAGGGGTCAGCTCGCCTCACCCTCTCTCCAGGGACAAAAAAAAATCAGTTGTGTTTTGTGGAAAGTGACCGGTGGATTTCCTATGGAGAGAATGCCTGACTGCCCTCCCCGTGCGCGATGTGGAATGTCCACTGCTGCCAAACAGAGATTAGCACAACACAATACTCCGTTCTCTGTACGGTAAGTCCTCGCTTTAAAGCGCGTTACTACGCATTTTCGCTCCAACTCTGTTCTTCTGTGGGGGATCACTTTTCGCGCAATGCGGAACGCGCGCCCATATAACGTGGTTTCTGAGCGGCCCGATCACATTACGAGGCATGATAAAGTACGTGGCGGTGTACCCTCATCTCAGTTCTCCATCCCACAATGGGATGACTGGAGGCTGACCTTAGTGCAAATGAGATTCAAATTATCATTGTTTTTTTTTTACTTATGCACTGTAATGTATACAGTAATTATTTGCTTAACGCGCCACTTTTTAGTAAGACGTGTACCGTGTTACATGAGGAATTACTGCACTTAAATGTAAAGCTTTCATCTGTATGGGTTAACGATTACGATTTTACCCATACTAAGCAGCGAGGTGGAGAATGTGGGTAACAAAGTTTAATTGTTTAACGGTACAGGTCAAAATACAGCTGTCAGTTAATCATCATCACAGGCCATGCTCAATTGTTGATTGCAATCTCTTCTTACATGATCTATTATCCTCTACATTAATTTTATTCATGTTATGATTAAACCATTAAATGATCAAAACCTATTCTAACGCTTAAAATACATGCATATGTTTCTGTGCCTGAGAGTATTTTTCTTCTTATATATTTCATGTAATTGGGTTGGGTCAACCTTAAAGCCACCTAATTATTCTACACTCACTCCAGAATTATAATTGTGTTGCATAAAATATCGACCTTGAGCTTGACAATTAATGATCACATCACATTGAGGGGTGAATATTTACAGCCAACACTCACTCCTCCTTCTCTGGTCTGTTCGCATGCCTCTTTTACACACTCTCTCCTTTGCGCCTACCATTGCATTAACAGTTTATAAATCTTGTTCATTGGGCATTACGTTGAGTACGTAAAGGATAACATACCAGCACTGTTATTTACTGAACCCCCCTGGGCTGGTGTATGGTGCAGTGAGTTGGGGTTATAGAGCTGCCTCTAGCAGGTTTACACCACAGCCTTGGTGACCTTATCTTATATTGTGCCTTTGTCCAAGGCGCTTTGCAAGAATCATGAGTGGTACAATTAGGCTAGCTATAAGTGATACAGTAAATATGGATGGGGTATGGGGGAGTGGGATTTTAGTGGGTACGGGAATTACGGGGCTACCTAGGGATGGAGGGACAGATGGGTCAGGGAGAAGAGGTGGGTCTTGAGAGAGGAGCTGAAACTAGACAGGGAGGAGGGTGCTTCTCGCTTAATGTGGAGGGGAAGTTTGTTCCAGTACAAGGGGGCAAGTAGGGAAAAGGAGCAGAAACAGGATTGTGCACAAGGAGAGGGGGGAAATCATTCGGTGTAGGAGAGATTGAGAGTGGAACGGGCGGGAGGGTCCATGATACGAGACAAGGGAAGCGAGGTACCGTCGGGCAAGGCCATAAAGAGACCTGGGACTTGTTGGCTGTAGATTACTCGCAGAGAATGACTCCTTCCTCCCCGCGCGTTTCCACCTCCCCTAAGCTGTCGCTGAGCTCTGTGATTTAATATGAGAGGGCATAAGCAAACTATGCTGAGCTCACATGAATTATAAGTTTCCCCTTAAGCCAGCGATGGGGTGGTCTGTTATAAATTATGTACGGTAGTTATAAATTGTGCAGTGAAATTCAAAAGTAATGCGTAAAGAAGCTCATCGAAACGTTTAATGGTTTTGGGTTTTATTTGTGGATAATGAGTAAGTGTGAAGTAGGGTGTATAATTGGAAGGGTTTTTTTTCTCAAAATACAGTGGTGCTGTAGTTATTAATACTGTCGTTCACAACACTGCATTATGCCTGATAGGATGGATGAATTGTCAGCATTTTTATAATGTTTTTTTCTTGCGATGGAGATCAGTTTATAGAAGCGTGGTTGGTCACGTCTATATCTGTCTGTAAATTAATTATTACGAAAAAGACAAATATCGATTTTCATGATGTGTGACTTTTGCAGACTATAAAAAGCCATTTGATTCAATGGAAACTAACCACCCAAGCACACGAAAACTAAGGACTTGACAAAAATCTATAGAAGTGATAAAAACCATTGATGAAGATGGAACAGCTGCACGAATTTCATAAATAAAGACACAAAATACAAATGGGACGATTAGTCGAGCGAGGAGATACGCTCTCACCAAGCCTATTCACAGCAACGTAAGGGAGGGATTTTCTAAAAATTGGATTGGAGCTATGAAAGCAATAAAGTTCAGCGGTAAATGAGTATCCATCTCTGGTTGCTGTTGACGCGAGTCCTCGGGAAATGATTCCAGAATTTCACGAATAAAGAAGGCTGCGGAGTGGGTAAAGATAAACATGAGCAAAACATGTGTTTGTGTACACGCAAAATAATTGTTGGAGGGACGCAACTGGGAAACACAACAGATTGTACATATATATGTCTTTGGGACAATTACAGGAGGACCGGGATCATAATGACTAAATAAAGAGGTGAGATAGAGCTGGGTTGGCCACTTTTGAAAAAAATATATATTTTTAATGAAAGTAAGCGTACTAATGTGCCTAAAGAAGGCAATTTAATGCCAGTGCAATATCAAAACTGTTCCCAAGTTAAAAACAAAATACGTCTAATCTCCTGAATGCAGACACTGAATGTTAACTTCACGACAATTTGCTAAATCCTGGGTAAATAAAGCTTGAATGCATTGAAGTGGCTTTCCCATGAGAAAAATTATGTCAACATTGCTACGTTTTATCTTTTTGCGGAATGTAATTTTAGAGAAATACGTTGATATAAATATTTCAACATTTTTGGCTTCTCTCTGACACTTTTGTTCAAATCTGCTCTCAGTTATTTTTTATTAATGTTTTCTTTATGTTCACGCAATTTCCTGAGAGTGCTCTAACTCACATACAACACCGTCTTTGCTCATCCTTTGTAACTCTCCTAACATTGCCATTGCTGCCACTTGAGGTTTTATCACACAGAAGTGGTTATTGGTCTCCCTTGCAGCACTTTATTGAAAACTAAAAGAGGCAGGCTGGCTGGCTGGCTGGCTCGGGGAGCTTACCCCGTTGTCAGAGCTGAGCCAGTGTACAGCTGATATCCAGGGTTCGAAACCAGGCAGCCATACACATTAAAACCAGGTTTGCCAATATAGCGAGTTGGTACTCTCAGCCTAGATGTCAATGGCTGCACAACAACGTCATTGCATTCGTTTTTTTTCCACTCACTGTTGGTTTGATTGACACGTTTTGGACGCCCGTTGTAAGTTAAAAGTTCTCGAGCGTGGATCGAGAGGCTTATTTCACTAAGTTCAGAAGTAAATATAAAACGTTTTCTCCGAGGGCAGTCGAAGCCCCACCTGTCGTCCACCAGGCCACCAGCCCCCTCAAAAGCAAAACATTTGTGCGTAAGCGAATTTGCGGTCACGGTAAATGTATGTAAAGCTGAAAATGCTCACTTTCAGTACGCGTACAATTTGAGTTTTTTTGAAGGGTTCGTCTCTTTCTGCGCCAGTATCGCTATCCCTTGCATGAGTTCCGATTCCCAGTCAAGGCTAACATTGGCAAGTGATATCTGATGAACCGATCGTGTTTCCCTGCCTTCACTAGCCTGCACTGACCAGCAGGGTGAAGTATAATCAACCCCCGTGACAGAGACTGCACGGGGGGGGAAGTCTTCATCCATCCGTGGATTGACAAAGAAGTACATCGTTTTAATCATTATAAATTATTAAAACTATGTACAAATTATAATTTGTTGTAAATCTTTCCATTTATTTGTGTGTTGCAGGTCTAATCAGGAAATTCAGATATACACAATTGCTGTCATCAATGCCCTCTTCATGAAGGCGACTGCGGAGAAGAAAGTGGTAAGTGAAATAAATATGACTTATCAAAGTGTAATTTGTAGGATTATGTTGTGGCAGTAGCCAGTGAATGCACGTTCGGACGACAGATTGAGCCCAACCTTTCAGGGACGTTCAAGATTGCACCATGTTGTTCACAATAGTTTGCCATTGTGTGCCAGCGACTTGTGTGAAATTAGACTCCTGCTTTGACAGTCGAGCACCCTGAAGAGTAGATAGCCAGCTGATCTTAAGCCTCTGCCCTCTAGCCTCATTGCCACACAAATGCCCTTTTGTGTCAAAAGCCCAAGCTCTTGCCTGCGAGGTGCACTCGAGTGCATGGGCCTGTGCAGAGATGTGCCCCCACGGCCTCCCAAGCCTCCGCATGTCTCTGATATCTGCCGATGAGTAATGCACCGGGCTGCTTTGAAAGCGCGTGGCACAATGCGAAATGTGTGCTGAGCACAAGGGGCGGTCGTGTTGAGCTGGTCAGATGTTGCACACTCGCTGCCTTTGTTCCAGCAAGTCTGTGTCGCGGCGGCTGGCTGTGGCCAGCGTTAAAATCAGAGCCGAGCGTGTGGGGCGGGCTCTTTTTACATTTCCCTCCCAAGGTAAACTTTTAAGCGCTTGATTGATGTGCAAGTGGCAAGACAATTTTTTGTCAATATTTGGCAAGAGAGAGAGAAGGCCAAATCACAGGAAATTGCCTTACCGCCAGCACACGCATCAGGGACTTGGGTTCGGTAATTTTGTGTTGTCAAATAGCCCTGAATAAGCGTGAACCTATTCCGTGACTGGCCTCCATTACCCTCGGTAGCCCTGCCGGTGGGGGTATCGCACAAGGCGATCTCACGCGTGGATCCTCCCAATCGCATTTGCAAGTCACTAAAAATAGAGGCTTGCACCATAAAGTACAGACAACAAGGAATAGGATTGTAAGCCTCGGTTATTTGAATATGCCTTGCCTTATTATACAGTAGATCACCGATTATCCGGCAGCTTCGGGTGCCGGATTGTTTTTTTTAAATGCCAGATAATCACATCTTTATTTAAAATAGCTTATTTATGCACATTCCTGCAAAACATAACATTTTAGCTGTTGCGTGTATAGTTTTTTTAAATGTTTTAAATGTATTTACTGTATGAAATTGGCATTAATAAACATACAAAGAGACACAAATATATATCCTAGTGTAAAAAGTTACTGTATTTACTGTACCATACTTAGCACTCTAATCTCGAAGACTTATGCATGGGGTGATGTACGTCGTACTCCGCTCTTGTTTCAACATGATTGAGTTTGACAATCACCAGACTGGTTACATCCTTTGAAACGGTTTTAGCGGTTTCGCCGGATCGGCCTGGGACTGTTGGAAGCAGCCGGATAATTGCGCGCTGGATAATCTATGACCAACTGTATATTTAAGTACATGACAACATTTTCAAGTTTCAACTGCAGTGAACTTATTTTGTTGAATTAGCTTCTTGCTCTCTCTATTGTTTGGTCAATACACAAATTACCCCCTGATCCAGAGATTAATTACAAACTTCCAAATAATAAGAGTTATGGTGACAGTTTAGTTTTTAGTGTTAAAACACGAAACAGTGCTGGGGATCACGTGTATAACAGATAAGATTAGTTATTTTACTGCAAATAATGTCAGAAAAACTCTTCTTATCAGCAGTTTTTTTCTCATTTGTAATGTAGTTTCTTGATTTCGACACGATAAGAAGAGCTAGAAATCATGTTGTCTATGAGATATTTACACGTTTCTGCATATTCGATGTGGCCCAAGGGGAAAAAAAGCGCATACAAGCCATTCAGGATTACCACCTACAAAATAGCCCTGCACATTATGCAAACGTATAATAGACTTAACCAACATTACATGATAATTGTTTTCATTTTACCAGTAATCTTGACTTGTGCATAACCAATACATTTGCATTGTCAGTGGTGTAATATTTCACGCTTTTAAGGCCCAATTCCCCATTGGATGTAATCTTCAGTGGCTTCGAATGAGGCACGTGAACGGAGAAGTGCACTCATCACTGCAGTGGGAATTGCTCTGTTGAGCGAACCTAGCAGCACGTAGTAGCCCGTCAGCCTAACCTTGGAGGAACACTTCAGCTGTATTGAGGGGCATGTTGTACCCTTGGCACGCGGTATTAACTGCCCCCCCCCCACAGAATCTCCAGGAATGCACCGTTGTTTTGAGTGTTCTCCTTGGCTTGCTACACTGAGTGCATTTTGACCAATGTCATCACCATTTGAACCCAGGAGACATGCCGACTGCCTTTCAAAACAAACCACCTCATTGTGCTAGTTTATATTGCTGGTGTGTCTGACTTTTTCCCATGCTGGGCATTCCCATGGGAAAAGAAACCTCAGCTTCTTTGGCCCAGCTGCGAAACATGACCAGTAGAGTGGGAGTTATGGGAAATGTCCCAGTGAAGAGGCGGTATGAATTTTTTCACCACTGTTATATGTTCCTCTGCTGCCTTCCTGTAAGTGGCTCAGAGTTACTACAAATACTTAACTTGCTGTGAATACCGAATAAGTAAAGAAAGGTTAACGTTCATATAAATGTGTTTCAATGATGTTTTTATTTCTACGGCAGTAACAATATCTTTTTTGTTACCGCCACACAAACGTTTTTTTGGAGGATTGGACGTTTTCCCGGGACTGAAAATGCCCTTGAGAAATGTCATCGTATTTAGGGTATATTCATCGACAACCTTATTGATATTAGAAGAGAGTATTTGTTGACTGACCTCATTTTAATAGTTTACCTTGTCTGCCAGCAATACACTCGGTATTTGCTGCGGATGAGTGGAATTGATCAAGAATCAGGCAGCGCATTTGAACTTTTGCGTTTTGTTACGAGTACCAAACCTAAGGAAAATAATTTTTAAGATCCAAAGCGAAAATCTATCTCTTTTTTTCTTGCCAACAGAAAATATATTAAATAGTGTGTAGGTAATCTTGGGCTGTTAATATACATGGTGCACGACATTTGTATGTTTTTATGTACATTTAGTTACATAAATTATAAGCCTGTAACAATTCACCCTTGCAGAGATGCAATGAATTTTCGTGATTCGGTCAATATTTGATTTGAGGATCCATTAATTTTTCATCTCGTTTTTACCATCTCGTTTGTATTGTTCCTGATTTTTTTTTTTATCAGTTTCGTTTTGTGTACATTTGTGTTCTCTTTTATGATAAATGTGAGTTTCACATGATATGCATAGATGGTAAATAACAATTTCTCTCACGCACACATCCTGCAGTTTAAATTTCGATTTAAAGCTTTCGTGACTGCAGGGATTCATATTCTTGGTTCTTTCGGTAAAGTCACGTAGAAGGGAAACAATAGCATAAAAAAAGAAAACATATGATGTAAAATTTGAAATAAAACATATGTAAAAATTTTTATTATTTTATTATTTCCCTTCTACGTGACTTTTACCGAAAGAACCAAGAATATGAATCCTGAAGTCTGTGATGCAGCACAGCATATAGACTAGAGGTATGCAGTGCGCATACAGGCACTGAAATGTGACCAAGCACGTTCGTGCCAGATTCCTCCAGTTATAAGTAAATGTTCCAATTCTGGATCCCACGCGCTGCGAGCGCATGTAAAGTCAATGCGATGAGCTGGAGAGGTGCGTGCATTGACCCAGGTGGGAAGCGGCTTTCCCAAGATAGCGGGGCCATTCCTTGCACTTGGGTTGCACACCGGCTCTGGAATGTGCAGTTCTTATACGTGAGCTGTCACGGCCCAAGCAACGCTGCTCTTGAATAAACGCGAAGACTAATAGGTATTTGTGTCTACAATAAACTGTGAAGTGAGATGGTTTACTTAAAACAGCTGGTCGCTATTTACTGAAAGCCGTTAGTGTTAAATAGCCTGACTAATGCGTCTTGGGTAAATCGGCAACTTTATTGCCATCAGGATTTATGCTTGAATTTGCTGTGCAAAGAAAATGATGTGAACAGAAATATATGAAAATGCTCAATAAAAATTGATCTGCACAATAGATGCAAGCGTTTATATCCACCCCTGTTCATTGTAGTGCATGTGAGATAATTGGGCTAATACAAAGCATAGTCGAATATTTTTGTTGTCATATAAAAACACTTATTTCAAGTTCAATTTTGCTCTAAAACTACACGGAGCTGTGCATTGGTGTTGGTAAAGTGGAAGTGGTAGGTTTTGTAGCGGCTTGTGTAGGATTTTTTTTTTATATTTCCTGGAAACACGTGAAGTGTCCTTGAATGGGCACATGGTTGGATGCACGGACATATTTCCCAAGGGCCAGTAATTGGTACCTATGGGCTTCTTTAAAAACACGCCAGCCTGAAGTAGGAGCTGCATGAATGCTTGCACCTAGAGCCACTTTCTGCAGATGGGATGTGAACGATATCCGAGTTAGATGGCACTGTGATAGTTATAAATGAACAGAGAACAGTGGCCATGGATATGTCAGTGTAGTTATAGTTGTGATGTTTAAGGGGCTGAAAGGAAGCTGCCAATGTCTCATCATCAAAATTTTATCTTTCATTGACCCGGTAGTTAGAAAAAAATACAGTAAGGATATTCAAGTGGCAACTTGACGTGGAGACTTGTGTTCAACATGTAACTGGGACATCGTAGAATACTATACCTGGTGAGTTGTGAATTAGGCTATGACACTACCCATGCCTGCGTGTGTGTTATGGGTAGCCTAATGACCACTTAAATTGCCCTGCACGTTCTCGCGAGGATAATTTGTTTTCCCAAGGTCTGTAGAGGAAGACAACACTTGGAAGATATCCTACAGCGGTTAACCAAATGGGATTCTCATGAAGTAACAGCACAATGCAAGCGACGGTCTTGCTGTTATAATGCAGAAGTTAGCAAAGTTGTACATCCGGCTCTATTACATGGAGCAATGGGCCACCCATGGGGATTCAGCTGTCGTGTTAACTTGGGGTGGTTAGGGCACAATCCATGACTACACACCATGCTTTTCTTGCCCGAGAGGACCCAGCGTCTACCCCGTGCTAGGAGAGAGGGGTTGTCTGCAGAATTCCCAGCAGAGCTGATAAGCTGCGGGCATGAGCAAAACTAAGATGTAGTCTCTGCCTCGGACTTAACAAATCCGAGGAAGCACTCCAGAGAGGAAATGCGCAGTCCTCATCATCGGTCAAATTTGTTTATCTTTTTGGAACGTGAGATTGCACCAGGGCACCGCAGAGGTCATGGAAGCACCCCAAATGCAGGAAGGGTTTCCTCAGGTTTGTTGTCAACATTAGGGGATGTGGGCAGTGTTTACCAAGAATTTACATCCATCTGCAATGCATGACAATCGCGCATCCAAGCACTGTTCAGGCCAAGCTGCTTTAGCTTCCAGGTCTGGTGAGATCCGGGCGCATTGCAAATCCTCAGCAAAATGTAATTCCCACTTGCACGTTTGACCGTCGCTGTTGCTTTAAAATATTGACGCTTAAAGTTCCCGTGCGCCCGACGTTGTCTCCCTGCTCAAACGTGCGCTGGGCGGTGCTCACTTCCAATGGCAGCTATGAGCCGGTGGTGAACTTCCACATTCCCCGCACGGGAGCCAGTCTCTCCGAAGAGGCAACCTCTGTTTTGACCACTCACAGAGAGCGGTGCTGTGTTAGGCCGCACGGAGGAGAGGATGGTGGGCTTTTTCCCCAGCTTTGTTGGTTGACTTTTGGTTGCGAACGCCACGTGTCGATGAATCTGACCAGTCTCACTTTAAAAACGAGTGCTGCAATCCCACAAAATAGTTTGCGTGTTGCAATTCCGGAGGGAATAAGATTCAACTAAACCCTCGCAACGATTTGAGGTTTCGACCTTAAACGGAGCCTACCGCCATTCCGTGAACTATCGTGGCTTTTAAAGATACTTGCCTTCGTAAAGATAAACCAAAGTTTGTTTATTGAATTGTAAATGTCACAAATACAATTGTTTTACATAATGCTAAACCTACATTGGGTGGGTGATTTGAAAGTATGGCATTGTCTTGAACAAATTGTGTATGAACTACCAATATGCTGGTAACACCGATGTTTTTTTCCATTCGCAGCAAAATATTAATTATTTTCAGAAGACTCTGAGACCCACGATTCTCAATGTAAGTAGACACGTTCAACTCCTGTTTTTTATATAAAATCCTGGGTTTTGTGATCTTCAAGCCTCGTGTATGTGAATGTGGTCGTTAAGATCTCTAGCGGGGACCGGCGTAACGAGTTCGATTCCCACTCACGGCCAACACCAGTGACGATTATCTGAACTGGTCCTGGGCCTCCCATAGGTCGACTTAGTTACCTGGTGCGGTGTGTATGTATGTTGATCTTCTTTCGCACCGTATGTAGCCAACCGTGCTAATTGGAGGTGCAGGAACATTGAATCAGCATTGCCACTGGGGAGATAAAGGCAGCCAGGTGTGGTGTTGGCCACCCACCCCCTCGTGTGCCATGCCGGCTTTCATAGGTTCTCGCTAACTGTGCTTGCCCCAAAATTCTGTTAAGGCTATAAGGGGGATCTTTTGTCTTTTTTGTCTAAGATGTCATGTGAGCCACATAACAACGCTTGTTGACCAATAGTGCTTGGGGGGGGGGGGGGGGGGAAATAACACGCTGCCGCAGCAGTTTAAAGAAGGTTGTTGCTCCAAGACACAAATGCCATCACTTCCTTGTATTTTTGGCAGGGAGCGTGCGCTGATCTCCCTTTAAAAGTGCCGAGTGGCACGCACGTTGAAAGCATTCTTCTTGGCACGTGCATTAAGCTTTCATGAAACGCACGGTAAGTGCAGCGTTTGTTGGCTGCGAGCATCGATCACATGGTGTGTTTATGTGCGGAACGCAGACCGTGATCCGCAGCAACCGGTCCCATCGGCCACGGATATGGCGCACCAGCTGTACGTGCTGCAGACACTCTCACTAAACCTGTTGGAGGATCGCATGATGACCAAGCTGGACCCGCAGGACCAGGTCTCGCCCCGCCCGCCCCCCCCCCCGCTCAGCTGACCGACGCGCACCCCTTCGCACACGGCTCCCTGCATCCCTGCATCTCCCCCCCCCCCCCCTACACACACCACACACACACTCTCGCCGTGGTGCTGAACAAACCAGTCAGAGTCGAGTGCACACGTAAAGCAGAGCTCCGTTCTGTGGCTCCACGTGTAAATTATTCGATGAAAAATTAGTGCAGAGAGCTACTGGTTTTTTCGGACCAATGTCCAGCGTCAGTTTTGGCCGTCATGGGTCTCGTCAGCAAAATCAGGCTTATTAAACAAATGCTGTTGGATCACCAGATGTTATTGGCAAGAGCACTCCACTGGGCTTGTAACGCCATCTTGCCCCACATCACCCGATTGGTTGAAGTCACTGGAATTGATTTCTGGTGGATCAGCAGTCTGCTCCAAATCTAGTCGGTGCGGACAGCCTTAGCATAAATCGTCAAATTCATATCGTCTGTGTATTTATTTGCTAGGGATCCACTGAAAGATATAACTTCATCAAATAGCTTTTGAATCTTGCTTTGTTATCAAACTATGCGATGTACGCAATGAATAACTTAATAGTATTGACAAATAATGCATAATCTTGTGACGGATGCATGAAGGTTGAACAGTGTAATAGACTCCCTGTGTGGAGTCTTTGGGTTCAGCCGAAGCGCCCAAAGGGCTCAAGATTGCCAAGCTGACGATGCAACCGTTCACATTCTGAGAGCAGCGAAAGTTCTTGAGTCCCTAATGCACAGACGGCGTGTTGATAGCCACATAGAGCAAAATTGTTCCCCCTTAATTACAAGTGGTAATGGTTACCCTTCTTAGGTAAGCGCTGAATGTAATACCTCTTGTCTATTCAACGTTCCCTTTCCAACAGCAGTTGAAACTCATGAAATGTTGGCAGGACTGTAGATGGAACTTGCAGCGATGAGGACCCCTAGTGGCCTTCACTATAATTTCAATGTTGATATAAACCACATTGAGACGGGTACATTGGCTAATACAGCCAGCACTCTTTTATGAAATGACATTGCTTTTCAGTTAAATTGTACCATTCTTTCACAAAAGAAACAGGAATGTGAATGTCCTATTGTGTGGAAATATTTTGCTTGAAATAAACCGAGCTCGGTGAATACACACCCATAACAAGGTCTTTACGAGCAGGGCAGTACCAAATTACACTGAAGGTCGATTTCAGAGAGTATCTGGGTTACGAAAATAAATTGAAAGCAGGTCTAACACAACGGTGCAACTGCAAAGCACAAAGGTATGAATTGCCGTAAATAATTGTAGATTTTTTTTTTTACTCTTTAAAGTGAAGCAATGTTAACACAGTTGAACGACGTTACAAACAAGTGAAAGTAAAAAAAAATAGTTATAAAAAATTATTTAAATAATTTTGCATTTAGATTGCCCAAACGATGAATCCCATATGAAAACATTGAGAGTTTAGGTTTCTACCAAATACGATCGAGATGCTTGATTGTTCGAACCTCGTGACGCACGACGGGTGAATGTGCATCTCAGAATTTCGTATTAACTCTCGGTACATGACCTAGGAATCTTGTGGAGTGTTGTTAAGTTGTGAGTGTGAATCTATATGTTTGTTAAAGATGATGCTGATTCCTTAGGAAACACTTTTAAGGATACACCTAGGCCAATGTATGTCTCTCCTTACTGATAGTGGAAGGTAGCCAGTTTTAATAAAACGGTAATAATGAACAATATATATACCTATTTTTACTTTGATCTATCATGTGTAAATTACAAAACCGATTACGCGCCAGGAAAGGTAGTTGGTTTTGTCCGTGTCTTGGTTTGCGCAGTGTTAACGGTTACTTGAAAGAAAATGGGCCATTACCTAACTCCACAAGGAGACGACTCATGTTGCCGTTTTATTTGTCCAGGTCCAACGGGATCTGCTGATGGAGCTGCGCAAGATCGCCTTCGACAGCGATGTGGATCAGACGAACAACAGTGGCTCCATCGACAAGAGGAAGTCCATGTTCACGCAGGATTACAAGAAGCTGGGCTTCTTGGTAAGTGCCGCTTATAGCCACGAGTCGCAAGCCGGCGTTCCTCCGTGCTCGAACGAGCAACGAGGTGACCCATGTCTCCCGTGATGCGCTGAGCCAGTGGTAGAGATTCAACACTAATCGATGACAGCTGTGGGAAAGTAGACATGCTCTCTGTGCCAGCACTTCCTTGTAAACCACAATAATAACTACTCGCACAGTCATTTACGAATCGCCACAATGACTGCTCACAGACTCCTTCATAAAACTTCACAAGTAATACAGAAAGACTCAGATATTAGCCACCACAGTTCGTACAGAAACAAGCTACTTTATAAACCTGCGCACTCCACTCCACAAACACACTGCATTTTAAAGGACCACAATAACATTAGCAGCAGGAACCATTATAAATACAATGGGATGGCTTCAGCCTCCTCCGCTTGTCTGGATAATTATCATAAGCTGGCATTATTAGCATATGAGTTATTTGCATTTGGTAATGGGAAATTGATTGCACATGTCAAATAAATCATTTGGCCTGTGCAATGGGAGTGAGTCTTTTGATCAACTGACTATTATAGACACTTTTTGTGGTTTATTCAAGTAATGTAATTTCCCTTGAAATATAAGGGGTGCCCTAGGACTTCCAGTGACATGGGGGTCTTCCGCAGCCTGTTTCCCGGCCCCGCATTGGATAATTAATAACGTCATTAAAATCCATGGTCTCTTGCCAACTGTTTAGTTTATTTTTCATTTATGTTATTAATATTTAAAGGCATTGGCCATTAGTTACCTTGAGATACAGTTCATTCTTATTTTGTGTTTTGTTTTTTTTTTTGCTACTTCCATTTGGATTGTCTCTCTGACTTAGTGCACCATTTGCGACTTCTGAATGTAAAATGTTATCCTTCTGCAAGTGACGCAAAGCGGTCAGTCTGGTAGACCCGTTCTTCGACGCCGGTGGAGGAGTCCACGAGCGAAGTTGACGCGAGCTATAACGGTGGTCGTTGATAGCTGTAGAAGATTGACAATGAGGCGATTGCCCGCCGGCGAGCGAGGTGACTGGAGGCAGTCGGTGGGTGCTGGATCGTCAGTCGCCCTCTCACTGCTGCCCTACGTTGAATTATATCCGGTGCAAGGAGGCGGGAGAACTGGGTGCTCTGTCTCCCCACACGGGACAAGGGTTTTTCCAACCGGGGGCAAATGTGTGCGTCGTGTGGAAGCGATCACCGGACGCAAATCGCGTTGTTTGCCGCTCTCCTTCCCCTGCAGAACAGTGTGAACCCTGCGCTGGACTTCACGGCCACCCCCCCGGGCATCCTGGCGCTGGACTGCATGCTCTACTTTGCCAAGCAGCACCAGGACTCCTACATCAGAGTGAGTCCAGCTGTGAACACAGACATTGCTCCGCACGAGAGGGGGGGCGGGGGGGAGGAGGTGTACTGTTCGTGAGATTGCGCTGCACATGTTGCGGGACTTCTGCATGTTAACTATGCTTTTGAAGAACGTAAACGTATTCTGCATCTAAGTCATTGGTTACGCCATGATTGTCCATCGTTTTTTGCTTTGTGAATTTATGAGTCTTAGAGAAATGCGCTGCTGTCCTGTTATCATCCTTGTTTTTTCATTTTCCCCCGTTGTTATGCAAACCGCGTTTACCATCGCATCTGCATCGCATCTGGAGACTTTTAAGAAACATCCGTTCAGAACTCTCACAGTGAGCAGTATAGCTCATCGTGGCAGAGAAGGGCCTCAAAAATGACAACACATGACTACTTCCCCTGTCCCGTACATTGAATTCTTATCCAACAATGGATGCGGCATACCTTTTAAATGTCCTACAAATAGCGTTAGTGTTAGGCACTTGGAAATTAGTCTCATTTTTGTAATCTTAACGATGATATGTGTTTTTGAGAAAGCTTGCTGGGTGTCTGACGTGCCTTCATTAAATCCCGTAACGTGTTCTACAGCACGCATATGAGAATCCGAGCTTGGTGTGTCTGTCGCGACATCGCTGGATGTCGCTGTGTGTGTGGCCAGCCTGGCAAAGGCACGCCACACAATAATGTACCGTCAGCACGGGCTGACAGCAACCAGTGCAACCCTGCGCTGGGTGCAATGCCGGCCCTAGAGGACAGGGTGCTGGGAGGGTGCCGGCTTCGGGAACGGGGTTCCACGGGGCCATGGCACTCTGGTTGACCCCGGAGGACACGTGACCGGGGGCGTCTGCCCGGGGACCCCCAAAAGGGGGGCTGGGGGGACCACGTGTCCAGGAGAGATCCTCCTCGATGGTTCGAGAACGGGGTCGTGGCTAGGGGCGGAGCGTGCCCCACCACGGGGGATAAAAGCCGGTCTCCCAGTGGGACCGGCTGCTGTTGTTGTGATCCTGAAGAATCTATGTGCTACCCTCCGCCTGAAGACAAGAGCAACACGTGATCAGGACCCAGACTGGGGTCCGTTCGTCATAGCTACTCAGTAATGTTAGCATAGTTAGCCCGGTGGACCACCACCCTAGGTTAATATCTGGTAAAGGGGCAGTTACCCCTTTTTGTATATCGTGTTGATTAAATAAATGTGTTGCCTCTCAACTGTACATCTTAGTGTCCGTTTGAGCCCACTACATAGCTATGATGAAGTCGGGTGCATCGTAGCTTGTGCGTTGTTCTTTCTGCGCTTGTGAGAGTCCCTCCATGAACAGGCGTTTGTCCTCGAGGTGGCCAGATGGCTCAGAGGTCATAGTGCCGAGCTGGCATTGCTGAGATCCCTGGTTTCAATCTAGGCTGCCGCCTGTGAATTCATGGTGTTAGCCAGTCACCGAAGACTGACAATTTTTTTTTCTAAATTTGGCAAAAATTGCCGCACTAATAATTAAAAAGATTGCTCTGTCTGACATGTGACAGCCATCACTTTAAGGGTTGGTGGGAAAATGCTGACCCCTATTTGTGTGCAACAGAGACCACTTGAAGGGATCTCAGCAGTAGCATTGTGATATCTGATTCTTTTTTCTGTTCTTTAACACAACGGGTTTCACTGCTCTAATTTGATCCAAATGAACCGTCCCATAATATGCCACCGATAGTAAATCATGATTAAGTTGGGGAATAAGATTGAACATCTTCATAGTAGAGAGCATTCGTGTGGTGGCAACGGTGCCTTTGGCAACGTTGAAATCTTGATCTCGAAGGTGAAAGAGAAAAAAAATCAAAAAGGAAATCTTGCGTTTCTTCCACTAAGACTGCTCGCAACCGCGGACCCTGTTGAAACCGTCGCCGTGTCTCTGTGCCGTCTGCCCGCGGAGCAGCTGGTGCTGGAAAACAGCTGCCGCGAGGACCGCCACGAGTGCCCGTTTGGCCGCAGCAGCATCGAGCTCACGCGCATCATGTGCGAGATCATGCGCATCCGCGAGCCCCGTGAGTACAGGCGTCGCGCCTCGCGCACGGACGTTCGTGCGTCAGTGTAGGAGCGTGCAGTCCTGTCCATGCGAGAGAGAGCGAGTGCTGATATAGTGACCGCGTAGACGCGAGTGTGCGTTTAACCACCAGACACGGTGAAAACGTTCACATATGCCATCATGACCTTCAGATGTCCCTGATTCGCACACTAAGTTCCGTCGACCAACATTTCACGGCTGGATCATTGAAGCGAAGGGCTGAAAATTACCCTGACGCCAGCCGGCCAACAGTGACCTTGATTGCCATTGAAATATATTACTTTGGAATTGGCCATATGATTCAATGGCGAAACTGGCCAAGATTCCAGTATTGCTGTGCAGGACCCGCCGGGCAGGCTCTGTGTGACCTGGCTTCCACATAGTTCCGCAGCTGTACCACTCCCAAGTTCCCACCAGAAGTTGTATAGGATTCTAAAAATGGCATTGCGCTTCCACGGCAGAAAATAAAAGAATCTCCCATCTGTCTCTACCTCTCAATGTGTGTTCATGCACACTGACCTTCTGATAGTCACTCCATCGAGTCCCTCACACTTTCCCATATGTTTTGTGTCCAGACATATATGTTTAAGGCAACAGACATCACAAAACCCATTGCATCTACAGCATTGTAGGATGCTGTTGGCATGAATGACGCTATACAAAATTTAAGTATTGTTATGATCTTGCTGCGTGTAATTGGTTTAAGGTTAATTATTTATGTCATAATATTCATGAATTTAAACTAGGCAACCTTCACGATAACCAGTCGTGGCAGAAATAATTAGTTTTTGTGAGATCTGGGGCTGTGGTTGTCGCCGTCACAATTTTGTCCTGCTGTATATCAAATATTCATGATTATTTACTCCTATTTGAGGCAGAGCAATACAACATTTTTGTGTGGCACCTCCCCGGGTGAACGTAAAGTCTCTGCTGGCTATGGCTATCATTGGTCTATAATTTACCACAACTGCATGAAATATTAAGCTGGCACTCTGTACAGCTTCCTCGGGCACTTTTTACATTTTACTCAATTTACAGCCAGAAAATCGAGCACCTCCTCAAATCGCTGTCACTTTTCTATCACTTCGCACTGCCGTGTTTAGATGACTGTGCCTGGAAAGAGCGATTCGTGCACATCTCCACATAAAATACTTAACAGAATGTGTCTGCGGTGATTCTTTCTCTCCTTAATTACCGCTTGTGCATTATTTAACAGCAATTCAGTAGCCACGGCCTAAATTAACCTGTCACTACAGTAGTTGGTTTACTGCAAATGGATTTTAAGCTATCTGGAGCCGTTATACTTTAGGCAGCAGCGTTGCTTTGAACATTCCTCAGGCTTGGCATGCGTAAAGTGGGCTTTCCTATTTAGGATGTGAATTTTGGAGCCTTCACTGCTATCGCTATATAAATCATATAATTATAAGCAGAACATAAATTTGGCCCAGCAGAGCATTTGAACGTGATAAATGTGCATTGCCTGATTGATGGAGAGTGTGTTCGTGCATTCATCGTGTTCTCTTGGGAGCTGGGCGCACAGTGTCTCGGGGTTCAGAGCGCTGAGCTGGCACCACAGATAACCTGGGTTCGAATCCAGGCACATACCCCGAAAGACACTGGGTTCTCCAGTTTAGCACGTTTGTTCTCTCATCTCTTATTCATTCCCACCTCCTTGCCATTAGAGCTACCCCAACATTCATCTTAATAATGAATTTTTTTTTACAAACCCTAAAATTGTTTTATTATTTTTGGAAGAAACAATTATAGTGCTTTATCAACAAACCTGCATTTTTGTTACACAGGTCTCAGCTGAATGCAAGACGTGGAGTCTCAATGGGCTCTCATCATGCCACGCTTAAATAGAATTTCACACAAAAACCAGCATGCCAATTTTGTCCAATATTCATCCCTTGAACAGCACCGTGAAGTCCTAGGATTATAAACACCTTCACAGGACTTAAAGGCCCAAGTCTGCACATATGCTGGCATATGTCCATTCAAGTCTACGCTCGATTTTATTAATACGTAGCAATGCAGCTAAGTGATACTTGCCTCACTGTCTACATGTGCAGCCCTTTTGTCAATCCACTGTTGGATGAGGACCTCCCCACGCTGATCAGTGGCAGTTGGTGATGGCAGGACCATACGTTTTGCTGCACTACTCCGTTGCCCACAGCATAGCCCCCACAGCACCCTATAACACCTTTTTATGACTGTTAGTTGCCCAGCCAAGCATCATCCAGGCTGAACCATGTCTTAGCTTCTGAGATGTTCCTAGGATATAATGCATTCCAGGTAATTTGGTCAAAACACTAACCCTTGTGTAAATCTACATATGCATATTTGGGTTGACTAGGCAATTCTTCTGGGGTAGATGAAACAAATTCCTCCTTGTTGGAAGCCAACAGCGATGACCCCGATGAATAGTCTCGCTCCCAACACAGCGATCTGGAATGTCCATCACTGGCTCCAGGGGTGCTCGTTTAAGTGGGAAGTGAATTTTATCGACTCTTAGTTGGCTTTCATCACGTCGGGATGTTTTGTGATTTTTTTGTACACGTGGTTAATTTATTGGGCAACAAACTCGGCATAAAAAGAACGGCGGTTTGCACTGGCTTTACGAGCCTGGTTTCTAAGGTGTTCTTGTTTGTCCTGGGGCCCGACATCAAACCAACGACCTGGAGCTACTAAAGGAGCCGTTACCACGGACGCTCGAAGGGCACATTTAGCGCCGCACGGTATCATACATGCGGGAGGAACCAGAGTAGCCAGAGAACGTCCACGCGTGCGAGAGAGTGGGCTAGCGAGGGGTTAGCACTCACTCCGCTTGCTGTACTGCCATATCCTGGCCTCCATAGTGCTGATTACAGGTGCATGTGTCTAGCTCTCGTGACCTCTACTTCACCTGATGGGTTATGTGCTCCCCGGACGTGGTTCTGACGGGGGTTCTGACGGGGTTGTGATGTTGTGGTAAAGAGTGGTTGTTTTTTTCCATAGAAGTCTGTGTCTCCCATTGCAGCATCGGAGACGGGCCAGGATTACTACCCCATGTACTTCACACACGACAACGCCTTCCAGGAGCTGTTCTGCGTGTGCGTGCAACTGCTCAACAAGACGTGGAAGGAGATGCGCGCCACCTTCGAAGATTTCGACAAGGTCAGACCATCGTGCCTACTGCATTCATGCTTTAGTCTCAACTGCGTGGCCACTTATAAAAGTAGCAAAGCTTGCAACACACCACAAATATGTTTGCAGTATCTGCTGCCTTGGGCCACCCTCGATGTCCTGCCTCAGCCCACGTGCACATCTTGAGTCACTGTGATTTCTCTAAGTAGTTGATTTTTCGGTATGTATGTGTAGTGACGCCTGATACGGTAGTCTTCAGTAAATAGGAGTATTTCCAGTATAAATGCAATTTTCCAAAAGCACTACAACCTGCTGTCGCTCGCATACACTGGGAATTGTCAATCACGACAACACACCTTATTGATGAAGTGTTGACCTTTGCAATATTGACATCAATTCAATCAGTAAATGGTGCTAATGTGATTGCTTACCAGGCAGGGGCCTTTCGGTGACAGAAAGGGATTTCCAGGATTTGCAAAAAGCACGCAATTCTCGACAAGCTTGTCCGCACATGGCTGTAACAATGCAGGTTGCGAAACTACGATTGTTTGCTGATATTCTTAACCAGAAAGAATCCATCCCGCCATCCTTGTGAAGAAGAAAGTTGTCAATGGGTTATATACACGTGTTAGCATCTTTTATTTGCAACCGGAATCATTAAAACTTCTAATGCTTTGGGGACAAAAACTCCAAACATTTATGGAAACAGTTTTAAGGCATATTCTTGGTTCTTTCGGGAAAGTCACCACGTAGAAGGGAAACAATACATAATAAAACATATAAAACAATAAAATTCTTGCGACGTTTCGGACTGCAACACAAGCAATCATCATCAGGTGTGAAAACCACAGCAAGAAAATTTGAAAAAAGTGGCGGTTTTTTTTTTACATTAGCCCGCGGAGAGTTTTAAGGCAGTTTGGACGAATAGGCCAAAATAGCCTGTATTCCGATGCTTCTCAACCGATGTGCCGCTCCACAGTCACAAGTGTGCCGTGGTATTTTTGGAAATTTTGTTTTGCGAGCCGGTACAGACAGACTCCACTCCAGTGAGTTTAAACACGATCCGGCCCCCACCCCCGACCCTCTCATCTTCCTCCCTCCATTGGTCACTCATGCACAGGGCAGCGCAGCAAGAGTCAGACAGCCGTCAGCCCTCACTTCCTCACCCCCAGCCCTCTCAACTTCCTTGGTTGCGCAATGTGCCACTTGGGCAAAAAAAGTTGCACCCTGCAAGTTCTTGCCCACGCCACTGCTGGCCGAAGGGCCCTCAGCTCTAGAGGGCACTACGAGTTGAGGGTATTTGGCCTGCTCTTCCATATGTTTGACGAGGCGGGAGTACCCACACCTATCCCCACCACACGTGACCTGCCGATTCTCGAGCTGTGAATGTACCCATGTATACTGCCTGGTGGAATCAAACCAGTCGGCATGCAAAACCATTAAAACGCGGGCAGCATTCCTAATACAGTAAAACCTTGGATTGCGAGCATAATTCGTTCCGGAAACTTGTTTGTAATCCAAAGCACTCGTATATCAAAGCACTCGTATATCAGTTGTGATCACGTGACGCTCGGCAGACAAAGCGTATGCGTACTACTCGTATTGCAAGACCTCGCTCGTTTATCAAATTAATATTTATCGAAAATTTTTGCTCGTCTTGCAAAACACTCGCAGACCAAGTTTCTCGCAATCCAAGGTTTTACTGTACAAATAAATTACCAAACGGACAAATAATCCAGAAACGGAGATTTACATTATTTGTTACACGTGTCGCGAATATCAAGCAAGCTCAAGAGTGTGCCGTGGAATAAAAAAAAGTTGAGTGAGCAACCGTCCCAGAAGTTTGTTTTTTTAGTGGGGGGAGGCCGTTCTGTTAGCAGTGGCGTTACTAAACCATCTCAGGGTTGCACCTTTGACTCGGCATCAGTAAAATGAATTGGATAGACCCTTTTGATAAAAGACACTCGAAGTTTGATTAGAGATGGAATATAATCTCCATGATTAAATAAAATGGCAATTTAGGATCACGATTCCATTTACCAACCAATGTTATTTTACAAATTTACCAACCAAAACAGTGCATATCCGTCGTGTAATTAGAACACCAATAATGATAAAAACATTTGTGTGCAGTCTATGACTAAGCCAACGTCTATAAAACACCAAACTTTGGTTAAACTCCAGATAATTGTTTTAAATTCCAGAAGAAAGTTGTCTGCAAATAGCTTCACGAATTACATGCTGGCTCTCTCAGCATGCACAGCCAATGGAAGTATTTCCATTAACAGTAGAATTCATTTCAATCTTCCCCACAGATTTAAATCCACTGAGAGTTCTTAAAACAATTGCAGGTTATTTTGGGTGGAAGAGTGGCGCTATCGATGCTATTATGCTAGAAAATGGAATTACTGCAAAGAAAGGTTAGTCTTCACGGACGGGTGCCTGAGATTATTATGTGCAGGCTGCCTGATAAGCTCAATAAAGCAGCTCAGTCATGTACAAAATATTCGAAGCAACCTTGACATGACCACCAGACTCCCATATGTCTATAAATCTCACTTCAGACAGGTCCTGGTTAATGGTGCCTTGGCAGCAGTGTGTGTGTGTGCATACACACACGATCTTTCAGTACTGATAGATAGTTGTGACCTCTAGTGTTCAAAATTGTTTGGCATTTTGAAAGAAAAAAAAATCACATTGAAGTCAATTTATGTCAGCCAATAAATTCAGCGCATGAGCAGTAAATGCAGTGTCAATGTCGTAAAATATTTCCTCAATAGTGCCCGTGCTTCGAGCAGGCTGCAGAGTTGTGGGTCTCTCTGCACTTAATTCAAGCCAGCGAACCTAGCTCCATGCAGTTTAATTAAAAAGTTTCCAAAGTTTTCGTTGTCGTTTCCTCAAATTTTTATCTCGTTTATCGCCTGGATGTTTGGCCATTGATTTGATAGCTGTGATAGTCAGCCTATTAATATGGTCATTGCCAGTGTATTATCTGCTATAATTAATTACAAGTTTTGGCACTTTCTCTTTTAAATCAAAAGTGTCCTGTGGGATCAGTGCCTCCTTAGATGTAGAGGCAAAAGGGCAGACTGGGTACATGCGTCTGGGAATACGTTTTTAGAATGTTGCCTTTTATTCCAACATCTGTGGAACGTTTACATGTTCGTTAGCGTTAAGGTCAATTGTCTTCTCGCTCAAATGAGAATTGCGATGATGCTCACCTCTCTTGGTGGCCCCGAGCCAGTGGTCAAATCCCAGCATTCCCATGGGGAGTTCCAGTCTCTCTCCACGTGTCGACCGCTGTTGACTTTCCGCAGTGGGGGTACGTGTTTGGTTAACCCTTAAAAGGTTGATGTTGAGCTGGGTTAATCCCCAGCCAACCTACTTTTTACCCCCCATCCACTTAACCTCCTGTTTCCCACACATTTTCAGTCCTGTAGTTGTGAAAAGCAAAATAAAAATAAATGAAAACATTTTTATTTTTTACCAACGTGACTTTACCGAAAAAAGCCAAAGAGTATGAATCCTTGCAGTCATGAAAGCTTCAAATCTAGAATTGTGAAAAGCACTTTGGCAGGCCGGAGGGAAAACCCTAGGCTCTTATGAGTTGCGACACGTAACAAGGAAGTATTTTAACTTGTATGCCCGTCGTGTTTCTTGGTTTGTACCATGTTAAAACTGCCACCACTTGTGTGTTGCATTTCTAAGAGCGATTCGTGGCCCACTTGGACCAATTCACGAACCGAGCACGTGGCCTGAGCTCAGATTCTCGGGGGGCAGCCTGCGAGCTGTACATATGAAGCAATTGGCGGGACCCCGGGGTGGGAAAAAACGCGTAGCGACACGAGTCTTACCTTGCCGACAACACAACTAGTGTCAATCGATTGGCCTCGTCGAGAGCTACTCGGGGCACTAAGTTTCGTAAAAAGTTGAAAAATTACATAAACACGTAAAATTCACTGCGGGGGCGGGCTCGCCTTGGCAAAGAAGCCGAGGATCGACGACTGACCGGAGGGCGTCGTCGCCGCGCGCGACTGCGGCGGACGCCCCCGGGGCTTGCGTTTGGCCGGTGGGGTGGCGCCCATCGTGTCGATCGCCGCCTGCTGCTGCTGGCGCTTGTTGGCGCGAGTCTGGGCGGGCGGCGCGTTGCTGTCGGGATCACGAGTGGGCGGACTGAAAAATAATAATTATTATTGACCTGATTTTTGCGGGACCCCAGGGTCCCGCCAAATGATTCACATGTACCTTCAACTTTTTTTTGCGCCGTACATGGCCAACCGCGCCAATCGGACGAGCCGTACCCGTTGTGGTCACCCCCCATTAACCTCCCTGCTCGGGGCGCTCCCCCCACCTTCAGCCGAGCTGCCATCGGAAACGGCCTTGATACCACGGGGGTCAAACGTGGAATAAATGCGTACTGTTTGTTTGAAATCAAAAGAAGATAGACGGCTCCCTTCTGTGGGAATGTGGAATTGTTAACCGACCAGTGGCACAGGGTTGCCAATGGACACGAATCCTGCCCAATTGTTCAAATGACCATGGAGACACTGTGGCTTTGTTTTTTAACTTAAATATGAGCTCCAACCGGGACGTACTGCAGTTCCATGGAGACACGGTTGCTGTTGTCCTGTGCCATGGGTACCGTTTGCACTGTGGCTTTATAGACGCATACCCTGTTGAAAAGGTCGCTGCAAACTTTAATTTAAGTGGTGACGTAGTCTCAGAATGCTGCGAGTGCCCTTCTCTTCAACCCGGTGTTTGCCGAAAGAAATCTAAATGTTAGTACTCTGTGGTACATTTTCAGCCAATGGCATCATTGTACATTTCGCTCATTGGTTAATTTATTGGAATTGCACTTTTCTCAATCCACTTGTAAATACTGCATTTGTTTATCAGGCCATTCCATAGCTGTTTATAATATTTCCATACATTATCATTCCACTGACGAGATAAAGGCCTCCCTCACACTATATTGGTCATGAATAAATGTTTCTCTGTTTCGTCACACCGGTCGGTGTAGGTTGGTGAAGGAGTTCTGGACCAGAACCGATTCAAACAATCCCTCGCTACTAATGTTAGCTATGACTAGGAATTAAAATCCGGTCCCCAGGTTCATAGCAGTGCGCTAATCACTCTGCCACTGCTTTGACCCAAGATATTAGTTAATCAGTATGAAATCAAAATGTGTGCGAATATGCTAGCTGGTGACTATGAAATGTCAGGGTTCACCCTCCCACTCGAAGACCCCACCTCCTTCGTAGCGACCGACTCAATCGAAGAAACTGCTTAGCAACACACACATGGGGCCAACTCTTGTGGTGTCTCTGCCTGCACACCTGCATAGCACCGTCGAGCTGTGATTGTCCGAGTTGTATGGACAGGGCCACTGAGAAATTTCTAACGCTGTGCCAACTTGCCAAACACCCTTAATACATCAAGCAGCCGTGCAGTGGGGAGAGGATCAATCGGCTGCTTCTTGGCCACATCCAACTCGCTCGCGTTGCCTTTGTTGCTTGGATACGTGGGAAGATGAGCAATTTGACGAATGGATCAAGATGTCATCATGGCGGACGCTGTTTGAAGTCATTGCATCCCACTAACGCTCTACGCCCTCCCCATCGGATTCTGTAGCTGCTGCACCCAGCCAATCGCTTACAGAAGCGGCCATTAAATGATTCGCTCTTCGTGAGACAGCTCGCCTGTTAAGGAGTCGTAGAGGACACGTTGCGTTTGAGAGAAGACGTTGGCTGTTGCGTGTGAATGAATGAGGAGTCGGTCATTGGTTGCACGTATCGGGGTTGGGGTGGTGGGGGGGGAGCGCCCTGGGCCGGGGCGTTGGGCGTCCCCCCTTTTAAAGGCTCGCGCAGCTTCACCGTGCCGCCGTGGCGAGACTGCAGCACCTCCACAGGGGCTGGCCAGTGCAGTGGAGGAATAGCGAAACCGCTTGTTGTTGTCTTTAGTTTTTTGTCCTTACCCCCCCCCCCACACCTCCGATTAGCACGGTTGGCTACGTGCGGTGTGAAAGAAGTTCAACATACATACGTGCGTACGTATCTGTGCTTTTGCTTTGCTCTTCCTGGAATGGAAGTTGAGAGTGATGCTGTATTAACTTATTGTAAATCGTAAATTTGCACAATATTCGCAATTGCTTCGGCTAAGAGTGCGTGAACCGGCGGTGTGTACGTATTTATTTACGGGTTTGATATACATTGTATGAATGCATGGTACCGTGAACGTTATAGATTCAAGATGTTTGTGTACGTGTTACCACACGTTTGCTAAGAACGTGTCAATCGACATCCTGGACACTCTTGAAAATGAGACGTTACATCTCACAAATTTTTCCTTGTGAAAAGTTTGTTTTAATAAGTGAAATAAAATTATTAATTGTAAAACTGGTCAAAATCACACTCGGTATATTGCCGTCAGGATGGCAATGCCTGTTGTTATTCTCTCTCTGATGCGCATGCTTATGTTTATTGAATAGAAACAGTTGGCGTGCGGCGAAATGTCACGCTTGGAGGCACACGCTTGCCGGTTTGAGGCCCTCATAACACTTACGTGTGATGGGCTTCTTAAAGACCTGCGCTGACTACCACCTCACCACAATGCCAATTCACGGAAAGACTCGCCTTTTGTGTTACGCCTGCCAGCTCATCTGTCTCTTCTGGCAGTTGCAGAATCTGACTGTAAACCTCGTGTTGTGTGCGATGCAGATGTATGTATGTATGTTGAACTTCTTTCGCACCGTACATAGCCAACCGTGCTAATCAGAGGTGCGGATAATATATGGTGTAACGTTTATTTTATTCAGGTGACATTAATATTCTTTGATTCCTCGCAATTTTCACATGATTACAATATTAGTATTTTTTTTTATATATACAGCGTGTTTCTTTTCATTGTACATCAGGTAATTGAATATAGTGTTAAGTAGGATTAATTTAATAATAGAAATGCTGTAATAACAGTAATTTCTTACGGCTCTTTGTCAATCCACTGCTGGAGGGAAGACATCCCCAGGTGCCCGAGTGGTAGAGCAAAGCTGCGTTATGAGTTCAAATCCTGCTTGGGAGTCGAGTCAGCCCGTCATCCCACTGGATAGATAAAATAAGTACCACATTGTGGGAAAGTCAACCGTGGTTGTCCAATGGATGTAGATGTGTGGAATTTCCACTACTAGCTCAGGGCTGTAATCAGGAGCTTGACTTGACACGCAATGGCGAGACGATAATGTCGCTGTGGCAGAGTGCTCAGCTGACAGTGGAAAGATTCAAAATCAAATACCTGTTGGGGTGCTTCTCCAACCTATCATCCTTCCAGGGCCAATAAAATGACTACCACTTAGTGAGAAGACAGCACTGGTTTATCCTGTAGAGAAACTGTCCCTTTGGGAATGTAGAATTCCTTCCACTGGTTTCAGACCATCTAACACAGATGAGTATCAACACACATCCTCGTTTGAACGTGGTATACGCGTCGCGTTTCTGTTCGTTTCACTGATGACTATTACTGTCTTGCATTGTTTATTATCAAGATAATTATCAACTGGATAGAATTGGCATATTTTCTTTGCCGGCATTTGCCATGGCACATTCGACTCAATAAATCCTTTTTGATCCCCTGGTCTGTCCTCGCATGACACCACCTACGGTAATTGCTTGAACAAAGTACGAGGTGCTTCGTGAATTTTAAACATTCCCTTGTGATCGGTGGCTACAACAGAGAACGTGGCGTTTGTGTGATACCGCAGGGGTGCACATCGCATCGTTTAATACGTCACGTTTGATTCTGAAACGACCCTCGGGGCCAGCCGTCTATGTTTACATCACGTTCTTCTAATGCGCACCATACAACCAAGCATGGCAGCAACGCAAAGGTTTTGTATTTTCATCCGTAAAAATGTTTATAAATATAATTTCAACGCCATCACCTCTTCTGTACAATTAAGCACTCATTTTTTTAAATATCAATTTTGCAACTTATTGCCCTAAGGTTATACCTTTTGCATTTAGTCATGCCCTTCAGAGCTGTAATTGTGTTGAATATAGTACTAAACATCACATGTAAACAATAACAGATATGTCACTTAGATTGACAGATGCCCTCGTGCAAATTGTCAGTGCCGCTGTGATCCAGACGTCGCCGGTTCAATATCCTGGCGCTGCGGTCGAAACGATGGCGTCGTTTAACCTCCCATCCCTCTGCACCGAGCAGAATAAATAGTCGATCGGTAGGTCGCGTGTGGTGGGATATTAAGTGTGGTTACTCCCAGCCCTTCTACGTGACTTTACCGAAAGAACCAAGAATATAATAATTGTCCTTTCATTCCTGTTAAACAACAGTACATAATGAGTTATTTTATACGGTACTGCGTTCTGCGCTGAACAGGGCCCCATCAAGATGGAGTGCCCTTGCCAAGTAGCATTTCAGGAGCCAGTAGTGTTTTGAAAGATTAACTCTGCTGACTTAAGACACAAGCTTGACTGTCAACGAGACCCATAAGGTCAACACCAGTCCAGCGCTTTTCTTGCCGAAACAAATGCTGCTGAATAACATGACCCAGTCAAATAAATAGGTCGATCGACAGAAATATTTTATAAGGAGAGATGATGGAAAGTGATTTTTTTTAACCCATAATGCTCCACAACTGCACATGATAAGATTGTATACAATGCATGGGGACGTTCTTTGAGTCGTTTTTATTGGAATCTGCACTCTGATAGATTGCACAGATTTTATATGGATATTACTGCTTTTTTCCCACGTGTAAGCCCCGTCGCTGCTTTCCTGGATCAATAAATAATATAACTCTTTATTGTTATGTGGAAACGCTCGGTTTTAGCTTTTTACTTTTTGTTAATCTTTTAATGTGTGTATTGCCTGCTCGTGCGTTTTTAAACATTGTGTGTGGTCACTTCCTAATTATGGCAGCTCCAGATGTACTGCATGGGAGTCACGGTATACATTGCGTCTGATGGCAGCAGTTTGTGTTGGCGCTGAATGTCAATATCGAGGTCTGATAGCCACGAGAGGGCTTCAGGAGGGAGTTGGTGTAGCTTTGCTGTTCCTCGTCCTCCGTTGGAGGAGTGCAGACAACACTGGTTCACTATATGGGTCCATAGTTTGGGTTGCATGGCCACGATCACACTGCTGTTGCTTGTCCTTCATTTTCCATTTATGAAGGAGATCTGCACATCGGCCTGGTGATGTTCTGATGCGGTTGATCATTCCACCCGTGTCTTCGAGCAATATCAAAGCCACGAGGTGCGATGTTTGGGCGTCAAATGAGGTGTTTAATCTGGATTCGATAACACGTGATAATGAAGACGACGAGTGTGTGTGTATCATCCCTGCGTAGGTGCTGCAGGTGGTGCGTGAACAGATTGTGCGGTGTCTCCTAAACAAGCCCAACTCCATGGACCAGTTTCGCGTTCACCTCCATAACCTGGGCTACGCGGAGATCCTCAAGATCCGCCAGTCAGAGCGCATGAACCAGGAGGAGGGCGACTTCAAGGCCGCACCCATCATGTGAGGGCTCGTCCGCGTGTTCTTTTACACGCGGACGAACTAAAGCGCAGAGCGTTGAGGGGCGTGCTCGCTCCCACGCTGGAGCCGAGTTCCACTGTCCCTGTTCACGATTTACCATTTCCTGTCATTTGGTAATTCGTGTTACAGTTACCACATTGCTTGTATAACACCCCTCCCCCATCACTGGACAGGGGGTATATTTGGAGTAATAGCGAAGCACATAGGTGCTCACAGACATTACTTGTCCCAGTAGGCTGTTATGTTATGTATAGATGTTGAACTTCTTTCACACCGTACGTAGCCAATCGTGCTAATGGGAGGTTATAAGGGGATCAGCTGTCTTGGTGTGTGGGGTAATAATGCAGTGCGTTGCCGACTTTACTTCCCGTTCGATTCCCACTCACGGCCAACATCCATGACAATTATTTGAACAGGTCCTGGGCCTCCCCTAGGTCGACTGAGCCTCAAATCAGTACCTGGTGCGGTGTGTAAAAACATTGCCACTGAGGAGACAGGCGGCCTTGCGTGGCGCTGGCCACCCCACCCCCTCGTGTGACGTGTTCCGTCCTTCATCGGTGCTGCTCGCTAACGGCACTTGCCCCAACAGTCTGTTGATAATTAACGCGGGGGGGGGGGGGGAGATCTTCGTCTTTATGTGCGTGTGCGCGTGCGTACGTGGGTGTGCCTGCACGCGTGCTCTCACAGAGAGCTGCGCGAGAAGATCCTGCCCGAGGTGCTGGAGCTCATCAAGCAGCAGCGCCTCAACCGACTGTGCGAGGGCACCACCTTCCGCAAGATCGGCAAGAACAGGCGGCAAGGTTCGATTCCGGCTTCGCCTCCGCGGTCTCGCGACCGCGTTCACCCAGCGCCGCTGCCGCGTGGCCTCGCTCGCCGCCGGCCCGGAAAGGCGCTCGGTCTCGGCGCATCTCATCCCCAGCAACCGTGCAGGGTTGAGCCGGCGTAGCGCTTGGGATGGGGCGTTCCGCCGTGCATAACGGCGCTCGATAGGCTGCAGAACTAAATTTGGCGGACAGCGGAAGGCAGTGCGGCAACGTCCATTGTTGTGCCGTGTTGTGTTCCCGCATCTGTGCTCCCCACCTTCACCGGACTGCTCTGACCAGCATGGTGAAGCATGGATAGGGTGTGGGGCGTTCCTCCTCCAGCAGTGGATTTCCACAGTGCTGCACGTGTACATTGTGGTAATAGTGTACGGCGGTGGTGACCATGCACGTGACCTGTCCTCCAGCACTGTGGAGGTGGTGAGGTTTGGTGGATCACACACATCACGTGTTGTATAACTCTCTTCCCGTGGGTATCAAGGTGCCATGCTCTGGCTTTCCAGGGAAGGTGGTACAACAAGAGGATTACTCTTCATCTATTCCCATCTGTATGTAATAGAGCGGTGTCTCCCTCAACAAACGTGGCTTTTCTCCATGTGCTCTAGTTTCCTCACACACGTATACTCATTACTTGACCGATAACACCTTAATATATATAAGGCCATAGAGCTCAGGGGGGGGAATTTCGTGTCATCTCACCGCCTGGTTGCCTTCCCCGCTTGTCTGTGGTTCCCTGCACCGCCGAGTCGTTAAGTCTCTACGAGAGCGTGTGAAGACTTGTGCACGTCACAAGTCTTAAATGTTTTGTCACGCGATTATTGATTTCCGTTGCACCTTCTAGCGCTGTCGCCGAACTGTGCCGACGTTCCAATTGAACTCGATAACAATTGAGTGGTGCTTTCTCCAGCAGACAAGCTGTGGTACTGCCGGCTGTCGCCCAACCACAAGGTACTGCACTACGCGGACGTCGAGGAGGGCTCCAAAGCGCCGGCCATCGAGGCCCTACAGGAGAAGCGTAAGGCAGCACACACACACACACAGGTCATCGCGAAGTGCACACACAGTGCAGCCTTGCTCAGCCAGTGCGCGCAGGCAACAAGTCGAGAAGACAACAAGGTTTCCCACTCGCATGAGCACGGGACTGTTTTGAAGCCTGAGGCAATTCAGGTCGGAGTTCTCAAGTAAGTGTACCGTACCTAGCCAAACCGTGCTAATGGGAGATGCGGGAAAATCGCAGGTGCGGGTTGAGTTGTTAAGTGTTGAGTTGACAGCGTTAGCCTGGCCACGAATGACTGCAAATAAAAAAAGGTGATACTAGTCTGGCATTTGCTGTATTGTGTGCCACCGTCAATTCCCACTGCATTCTGCGTTTGTTTTTGCACGCTCGCACAGTTGACCGATGCGTTTTTTGGGTCGTACCGCGTGCTGTTTCGGCACGACGTCCGACGTTTCACTCCACCTGCTGGGAACCTTTTCCTGAAACTGAATTCAAAGCTATCGAGCGGGGCGGCTGTGAAAACCTACGCTGGGGTTCCTCGTGCCGTGTATCGCCGTGACCCGTCCTTCCTCTCCCCTCCTTGTGTTCCGCCTCCACCCGCCAGTGCCGATAGCGGACATCAAGATGGTGGTGACGGGAAAGGACTGTCCACACATGAAGGAAGTTCGCAAGAGCAAGGTGCCGTGCTTGTGCTCTCCACACCAACCTGCGTACGCGTTAACAGAGCGGTAATCGGCAGTGCTGCCAGGCTAAACGTCGAATTTTTATGGGTCGTTAAAATAATGAGCTCGAATTTTAACGGCGACTTAAAATTTCCGCGGAGACACGCGGTTGAATCACCGCTTGCCATCGAGCGAAACACGCGCCGCGTTTTTCCTATTTGAACGACACGCCACGACCTCATAATCTACTCTAGCTCAAGCCGAGTTCACGTGAAGTGGCCGGTTATATTGACACGAAATCACCACTGTCACCAGAGTTTATTCACTCTTCCTACGTGGCGCATAATTGTCCTGTGACCGACGGGTGCAATGTGTCATGAGAGGACCGGGGCGCCAGCTTTCCCCCGCCGACTGACACGGCGATGCTGGATCTTAGTTTCCGAGTCTGCTCACGGGCTCGGGTGCTTGCTGTGACGGATAAATGTTGCGTGTGGGCCGTTTTCAAGTGGTGGCCCTCGTGTGGTCACGAGCCGACGGTCCGTGGCCCCGTGGTCTCCCCCCCCCCCCCCACCACCCGTGTTTTGATGGTCTGCATCACGAGCTGCACGTGGTTTTGTAGAGACGTTTTGTTATCGCCATCAAATATTGACCGTGCGATGGAGTCACTGCGGCATTGTTAACGACGACGCATCGCGGCGGCGTGGATGTTGGGATGTGGTGGTGGGCGGCTCGCAGGATGTGATGGACCTGGCCTTTTCCATTCTCTACGATCCCGACGAGTCTTTGAACTTCATCGCCAAGAGCCCGGATGAGGTGGGTCCGGACACGCGCACCAACGTGAAATGTCAGCCTGTTGCATTGTGGATGCGTGTTTTGTATTGTATTGTTGTCGGCGATCAAGGTGTGTGAATATGAAGTATGGCGTCGTGTGCAACTAAACGTGTGCCTCTGCACACATGCATGCTTGTATGAAAGCGTCGGCACTCGCATGATCGTTTATATGCGTGAATTTGTATTTATGTTGTTGGTGATTAAGGATTCATACTCTTTGGTTCTTTCGGTAAAGTCACGTAGGTAAAAAAAATAAAACTAAATCAACGACGTTTCGGACGCAACACAAGCGTGTTGCAGTCACGAAAACTTCAAATCTAGAATGATTAAGGGTTATTTTCCTAATGGAGAGGTTAGCCCTGCCAATGTACGCGTAAAGCCATTTTGTCAATCCACCGCTGGATGAGGTTCTGCACGTGCCGTGCAGGTCACGGAGGTCACTTGACTGCACTGCTCCCCACACCGCTGAGCGCGGGTTGGGGAAAGGGAACATGGATACGGCTGTATCGAAGTACAGCACAGCGATGTGTTTCGCTTCATTTCCCCCTGCTCCTCAACGTAGCCCTGTGGCTCTCTCAGCCCTCTCCGTAGGAATATGAGACCTTGCCACCGCTGTATCCGAGCCACCAACTGAGATGAGCACCACTCTGGGCTCATTCGCGTAGGGAGGCGCCGAACTTTTAGTTCGTCTACTCAACCGTGGCTTTGTGTGGATTGCCACCGCCCGCGCGGCGCCTGGCGGCGTTTGTAAGCGTTCGCCGTCACCCGTGTGCGACGACAGTACTGCGTGTGGACGGACGGGCTCAACGCGCTGCTGGGCCGCGAGATGGTGAGCAAAGCGACATGCAGCGACCTGGAGGTGTTGCTCAACATGGAGATGAAGCTGCGGCTGCTGGACCTCGAGAACATTCAAATTCCCGAGACGGCGCCCGTCGTGCCCGTCCCGCCCAGCAACTACGACTTCACCTACGACTTCAGCTGAACGCCGAACTCTCTCGCCTCAACCACAACGTCGGCTGATCGCTGACCTCTCACATCACCTGCGGCTTCAGCTACGACTTCAGTTGAGTGCCGATCTCTCAGCACATCCCGAGCCAGCACAGCCTGGACCCCGCACAGCCCATGCGCGGCCAATCGTGATGCCGCTGACCAAGCCGTGGCCCTCGGCTCTGTCTGCCACAGCCACACCACCTCCTAACCTGGATCGCGGTGCCAGGGCTAACCCAGTGTTGGACAAATTAGGTCTGATCTTTTAGTCCTTGGACCATGCCTTACCTTACCCAAGTCTAACTTAAAGGAGGTTGCAACCCAACAAAAAAAACTGCAGTTATTTTGTTTATACGTATGTATGCCTTGTGTCCTAGAGGCGCGTTAATAAGAATTTGTTTTCGTGGTAATGCGACTTTCGGATGCACTGCCACAACGCCTTGTGTTGACATCACTGGGGTGTGGTTGCATTAAACCACGAATGCCTCGTGGAGGGCCCGAGTGTCTCGAGCGGACAGCAGGGAAACCGTGCTCCCTACGACTCGCTTTAAACATTGTGACTGCAATTGTTTTTTGGCTTGCATCTTCCTTTAAACTGGCCACATAGCCCAGCCGTGATCCACGTACGCTTCTCCTGAGTGTATTACCACTAGTTCTAGAATGTTACATCCAGAACAGGACATAAACATGGCTCCACCCAATCTGGGTTTAGAATATCTTGAAGGCCGAGGCTCTAAATCCAAACCCATTTGGCCAAACGAGGAGACAGGGGGTGGGGGGGGGGGGCAGGTTCTGTGCTGCAACTGCTGGTTCCGACCTTCACTCCACGTGAAGGGCAGAGCTGTTCGCAGCTCTTCAGCTCCCTTTTACCCCACGCTCGTAAAGCATGGGAGAGCGATGATTTCAAGATCAGTCTGAACCTGTTTCATTGGCATTGTACATAGTATGAGATACATTGTCTCATTCTTGGGCAGCCTAAACCTTGAAGCTAGTTGATAAGATGCTCATGAATTGCTTATTATTGGCAAGGAAAAGCCTTCAAAGTACCGTTTGGTATTGTATCTCCATATCACTGTGAAAGTGCAATTATGCCTCACCAATGGGTGCGTGCATCCACATATCAATACTTGTGGCTTGATCGGTCAGCAATCATGCTGAGGTTAAGTAATAATTAATCAAAGTAATGCACACGTGAACACGTACATTTTGACTGGCTTATCATTAGGTATGCATTTCCTGATGGATACCAGCTTGTCAAAACATTACTGTTATATTAAGTTTTTAACTCCTTAAATTAATACAACAAATAAAACGTTTCACTGCACCCGTATTTTAAATTAAACTACATGAGCATGAATTTTTATGTCTTACAAAATAAGATATTTCCTCCTGACTATTTAACTGCATGTTAAATCGGATACAGACACACGTGGCAAATAGCCATTGGTCTTGTGTGTCCCTGGCATTTTGTAGCAACGTATTAAACCTGCATAACAGGTGTTAAAGGCTCCAGCTATACATGGTGAGCATCAGAGGGCAATGCATCTAATTTTTGTTTTGTCAAACTTGCTGTATTCACATCTGTATGTATGTATGAAAGAGTTTGTGCTTTCGACGTTCTGCACTTGTTCTGCACATGGTGTGCACTCAAACATACTCTTTTGCACAGGAATGGCAGCCGGTAGATGGCAGCAGACCTTTAAGCATAGACTCCAGGGTTCATGCCTGGCGTTTTCGGACCAATGACAACGCGAGAGTGAGACTACGAGGTGCCCCTGTGGCTGCGGCGTCCGCGGTCATCTCAGTCATGCAACCCATGGCACCGGCAGGTTCTGTACCGTGACCTCCTGCCAGCGAGCCTTCGATACTTCACGTGGCCTCAACCTGGCCTGGCACAAGCGCCGTGGTGATGGTCACCGCCGCCTCGTGGCGAATGGCGGCTGTTATTTGTGCGCCATTTGCACTCGGGCCTACCGTGGAGCTGCTCCAGCTCCAGGCTCCACCGGCTGGCGGAGTCTGGTTGTTCTTAATTGGACTCTCGATGCAGTAGAGACTCCAGGTTACAATTGGTTTTGTAAATCTGATTATAATGAGGTACGGTGTAACATTTTAATCTCGGAATTCCGTAGCACTCCAGTCATGTATTTTTTTTTTTTATAGGATGATAATTTTGCCTAAAAGAGCCATGCTGCAAAACATGGATGATTGCACATGGGCTGTGGACCGGCAGCCTCGGGTTTTCTTCTGTAAAAAAAAAAACTACGTTGGTAAAACATCTTGTCTTTCCATTATTGATTCACGTCATTAATTTATCTTTGGAGCTTATGCACGATAATCATAACCGGTGGCAAAATATGAAATCAGGCCTGTGACCTCGGGCTCCCGCCTCTCTCACATACCAAATCAGGGCATATTTCTTAGTCAGCCATATCTCGGTACAAATCAATCCCAGGCCTACACGAACACACATGCCAATTTTCAGACTGTCTTGGTTAAACCTGGGACAGGTGGCTGTCTTGTGAGACACTCGTGGCGGGTCGAGGGCTTGCGTTGCGGACCACTGAACTCCATAAAGTATGAGCTGGCTTGCGATAATGATAATTATTGAAGGCTGTCAGAAATCTCTTTTCCGTGGGGTGGACTCTTTATCAATGATGGCTCGATATTTCGGAGTAGCACCTGCCTGAGCTCAAGTTTATGCTCCCTGATTTAAAGCTTTCGTGACTGCAGGGATTCATATTCTTGGTTCTTTCGGTAAAATCACGTAGAAGGGAAACAATAAAATAATAAAAATATAAAACAATAAAATCGCTGTCCGTGGTACTAACGTTAAGAAAAAACTGCCACTTTTTTCAAATTTTCTTGATGTGGTTTTCACACCTGATGATGATTGCATGTGTTGCAGTCGAAACGTGAGAATTTTATTGTTTTATTATTTTATTGTTTCCCTTCTACGTGACTTTACTGAAAGAACCATGAATATGTATGCTCCCTGTTGCCACTTTATAATCTGCTGCATACAGAATGCCGTGTATATAGGCATAGCCTCTGAACGTTATCTTAAGTGTGTGCTTTCAGCTAGGAAAGTTGTGTAGGTGTATTAGGGCATTGCTTTTTCACATTTTGCTACACTGCATTTCCGCTGTTAAGTTTGGCCGAAAAATGTGTAGATTCCTGTCGTCAATGCAAATACAAGTGCTGCAAAATTTTGTCAGCGAGCTTTTAACAGCAAATCAGTTAAATACGTAGGCTTTCGCGACCAATATTATCCATAATAGAGATTTTTTGGTTAGATCATGTAAATATCAATGTGTCGTTAAACCTGCTAATTGTAAATGTTGTGGGTTTACTCTCCAACACACCAGAGTGCTGTACCAGCAACGAACTGGCATGTTGTGTTTACGTGACAAACCTTACTAATTGACTAAGTCAGGTGGTGGCGGGTTTAACAACGCATGTATATTTATGCGATCTAACCCAAAAACCTATTATGGATTAGCAAAGCAAGCTCAAATTAAACAGGTACTGAATAGTTATCATACCGGTAGTGTAAACGGGTGAGAGCGTGACTCGCACACAGCAATGATATCAATGTGAAGTGGCACTACAAGGGGGCGCAGTTTAATTATGAGGTTGCCTACTCTCACTTCACGCCGGGCTTGTGTGACGTGCAAAGCGCACTGTTGCGGTTGGAACGCGTCCTGCTGTGGATGACCACACGTTGCGAAGTTTTGTGAATATATCACATCCTGTTCGACTTGTGAGTTCACCGGAAGGGGCTATATGCCACTGTGACGATAATGAGAAATGATTGTTTTAATTTAAATATAACTGATGCAATCTATGGTGTGACACAAGCCAGTGGCTAGTTGTTGCGAGGGGTCAGCGTTCTCCGTCACTGCTTGCAGCACGTAGTTGTTTGCCACACGTGTTTTGTTCAGAGCAGGGGTTCTCAATGGTTTTGTGTTTTTATGCCCCCCCCCAACCGCCAGTAAAGCCTCGTGCGCCGCACTCCACCCAGGGTACTAACGGCACAATACACACAGAGCTTACGTGCCCCCACACCGCTAGACAACGAGCCATTCGCGAGGCATTGGTTTCACGTCGTGTGTTCAGTGTGTTTTGTGATCCCAACGCCGGTATTCATGCGGCAGCCTGTGCCCAACCCGGAGGTTGAGAATCGCTGGTTTAGACCAATCCACGAATGAAATAATCTGCTCACGAGGAGCCCATGAAATGGTTGCCGTCTTCCTCTTTAAAGCTGCTGTATTTCTCTTGAGTGGAAAGCACAATTCTGGGTGTGTTTTATGCGATGAATGGTAAGAAATGTGTCACTGATTTCAATTTTCAAAACGTGACCCGACTCTTTAAAAAAACATTTTTGCTCGAGAATTGTGCTTGTAAGTTGGCAATTTACCATTTGGGTTTCCAAAAATGTAAGATGTCATTTTAATGTTTTCAAATGTAAGCTACAAACTGTTGTTGTTGTTTGACAATTTAGAAGTGCAAGGATGTTGCGTTTTCACGCACCTAGTTCCAGTTTTGCTTATTTAAAAAAATGGCATTGGAAATTGAAACGTTTTTTTAATCTTCTTTGGTTCTTTCAGTAAAGTTACGTAGAATGAGAATAAAATAATAAAATAACACAATAAAATTCTCCCAAGCGCGTTGTGGCCGAAACGTCGTGAGAATTGTATTGTTATTTTATTATTTTATTCTCATTCTACGTGACTTTACTGAAAGAACCAAAGAAGATGAATCCTTGCAGTCACGAAAGCTTTAAATCGAAGTTGTTTTATTTTATTTTACTTGGATCATACAGAATACTCGTGTAGGTTGTGAGTGATTGATGTTGTACTCTGCAGCTATTCACCCGATTACAATGCGAGTGATGCTGCAGCGGAAACCTCCAGAATCACATCTCGTCATGGGTTCTAATACTTGTATATTAATGTCACAGGGATTTCCTTCTCAAATAAACCCTGAGCCAGTGTGGGGTATTCCATTGGTGGAGAGTGTAGCTATCCATAGGACAGCCACTGTGTAATTCCCCACAGAGTGGTACTTGTTTTACCTACCCGGTGGGATGATGGGCCGAGTCAACTCCTAATCAGGATTTTATGTCGGAACCTTCCGATTGCGAGTCGCTCGCTCTGCCGTTGAGCCACCCGGCCAAACAACCGAGTTCAATGCCGCGAGTGATGCTACAGTGTTAGGAACCAAGTCCATTACTCATGTGTACTGTAATGGTATCACTGCAATGTCTGTATTAACTTTGATATCCAGCCGCTGAACTTACTCTTGCAGTGGTGATCACCAGAACAAATGTTGTATTTGTTAGGTTTTTTATTTTCCAACAATATCTGCAAGTTTAGATACTTATGTTTTATTGTAAAAAGGGTGATGTTTGGGAGTAACTGGGTATATATAAATGTTCGTTGGGATCTGGGTTTACTCGAACAGTAATAATAACATGTTTTCTACATTTCAACTCTTGTATCGGACCATAGAATGATACAAATTTGATCCACATTCTAATATGTTACTTCCTAAAATCTTGCACTGTGTCCCTGGGAATGCCACCTATAGATTTTGTTTAGCCTGTGAAATCTTTGCGTGCTCTTTATCTTTTAAAGATTTAAAAAATTCTGGGAACTGCTGAACTGAAATACAAATTTTAAATACGTTGCCAAGTGGCAAGATGCCCTGAAATGTTCCGCTGTCGCGAACGTTGGTGCGATGACACATGCGTCGGTGTCAGCTTTTTTTTTTGTTGTTTTTTGGCAGAGGAAGTTCCCATGGGTCCGTTGCCAGCAATGGGACAAATCACCGAAGTGGTGAAACGTTTTTGACCAATTCGTCTTGATGCGAATGTGGCCATTTACCGTTTATTCACAAAGCATATTGTTTGTGTACAAGTACCACCATTCGTACTGACCGCAACCATTTTCTGCACCGATTTTTAAAACTCCATTCAAGCTGTCACCGATGTTGCACGTCTTTACACTCGTCTATATACTGTATTTTTTTCAACCAAATTTTAAGTTGCAGTCTACTTTTAACGATGCATTTCAATCATCATAAAAATCTGTTCTTTTTGCTCACGTCACATCCATACATTTTTGTGAGAATCGATTATTTAAAATTGGTGCACATTACATGCTAAAGTCACACTTGGGCTATTGGAGTGCACAAAACATACAAGAAATAACAAAAAAAGTCTGTTCTTGAATTAAGCTGTGACGCTTAAACATGACGATTTGTTACACCGCTAGTAGGCGGTTGGGGCATCGCGTTACACGAATGGCGAACAGGCTCGCCAGTGCCCCTGCTGTGGCCGTCTGCATCAAGTACAACGCAGTCTGGGAGTTTGCCCCGTACGGTGGAGTGCCACGCGGTACGGCTAGTCTTGGATTTATAAAACTGCTCTGCCTTGGGACCACCATTAACACCATTAGTCTATGGGTGAGCACCAATATGTGAGCCAATGTATTATCTCCGTTACAACAGCATCACGTGCACACCAGTGGTGCTGTTTGGGGATGCTCATATCGGCTGAGAATCCTCCACGTGTTCTGACTTCCCAACTCTGCCATCCCCCTGATGAATTTGCATTTAATGTTCAATGCTTTTCGCCAATAACACGATTGCCATTTTCCAAACCGAGCTTCTGGAGAACATGCAGCAATGAAAATGTCTACATTTTTATCTTAAAATCTTGCATGCAACGTGTCGTTGGGAAAACACTGCATTTGCATGAGCACATGGCTTGCTTTTTTACCCTTCTGCCAAATTTCAAATATTGCCACTCCAGGTGCAAACCCACTGTGTTATCAATGTAAAGAGCATCCCATTGTATTGTCAATGGTGACGTTAATTGAAATGTGTGTTTCAATGGAACATAAGCAATATTAATACTGTATAATTTTGTTGATGATGATGATGATGGTGATAATTTTGCTGGTCTGCCAAACATCGAGGTGTCCCGAAACACTTTACTGTCATGCTGCCAATGCTTTTGTCGATGTAGGACAAACTTGCGTTCAATTATTTAGAAATAATTAATTCACCTGTCCTGACGCAAGTGAAGAGCCTGGTGTGTGCTTGCGGATGCTCTGTGCTTCGGCTGGAGTTGTCAACCCAGAGTGGCCCTGCCTCCCCCACGTGCTGCTCGTGTGTCCGCGCCGCGCTGTTCGAGTCTCCCGGTGTTGTCAACATTAACGAGAGACTGCTTGCCGTGGTCTCGTGACCCGCATTATGATATTAAACCGGTCGTCCTGTCCGAAGGGATAGTACGGCGCTGTTTACTGTGGTGGGCACGCATCATGTGTGATCCAGTGTTGCTGAGGTGAGGCTTGAGAATTGTAGATGTGTATACGTTCTCTGAGCCTGCCTTACCGTCCGGACTGCGAGGGTGGGCAGATGATGACAGCATGGAAAATAGGTTCCTGAACTTGTGCAGAGTTTTAGAGTTGTCTCTTTGTCGGCGTGGGTTTTCTCTAGGTTTCTTATCACTTGTAAAATGATGTCAGGTTTTACGATTTTTTGTGCCATTTACACAAATAATGTTTAAAACAGTGAATCACAATGA